TTGAAAAGTGGGGCGCACCTATCCGCTGACCTTGGGATGAACCTGTTAAGAGCGGCGAGTTTACCTGCCAACGCTTGAACCTCTTTTACTGTTCTTGGTGACTTGAGTTCGGAAATTGCTTTTATTTGCTTGGGATTAGCCTCAATACCACGGCGAGTGATCATGAAGCCTAAGAATTGACCCGCACCTGCTCCGAATACACACTTAAGGGGGTTAAGCTTCAGATTGTGACGCCTCAGGTTCTCGAACGTCTCCCTGAGGTCGCTCAGATGGTCACTCTCTTTCTTGCTCTTGATTAACACATCGTCTACGTATGCCTCCACATTTCGTCCTATCTGTTCTCCAAAGACTTTGTCTACCATCCTCTGATAGGTGGCACCTGCGTTTTTCAGACCAAATGGCATTACTACATAGCAGTAGTTCCCATATGGGGTCATGAAAGCCGTTTTCTCTTGATCTTCTTCGCTGAGAGGGATTTGGTGGTACCCTGAGAACATGTCAAGAAAGCTTAACATTTCGTGGTTGGAGGTGGCATCGACCAGCTGGTCAATTCTTGGTAAGGGGTACGGGTCCTTTGGGCATGCTTTGTTTAGCGAGGTGAAGTCAATACACATTCTCCATGTTCCGTTGTGCTTCTTGACTAACACTGTGTTTGCCAACCACTTCGGGTACTGCACCTCTCGGATGAATCCTGCCTTAAGTAACTTTTGTACCTCTTCCATCATGGCCACCCTCCTTGCCAACGATGCTCCCCTTCTTTTTTGCTGTACTGGCACACTCTCTGGTTTCACGGAGAGCTTATGTTCCATAAGGTCTCTGGAAACTCCTGGCATGTCTTCGGGACTCCAAGCAAACAAGTCTGAGTATTCTCGTAACAAGTTGATCATTGGGAGGCGCATGTGATCCGGCAAATGGGCTGAGAGTCGGACGACTCGGCTTGGGTCGTCGGGGTCTAGTGGCAGCTCAATTTCTGAATCTACCGCTCCTGGGCGCGGCACTTCTGTTGGCCTGGCATCAATCGTGTGTATTTTTGGCTTATGTAGGGTTGCTGCGTAGCACGCCTTTGCTGCCTTCACATCTCCTCTGGCTATCCCCATTCCTTGGGGTGTTTGGAATTTCATTGCTTGATGACAGGTTGAGGCTACAGCTCCAAACTTAGCTAGGAAGGGCCTTCCCAGAATAGCATTATATGCGGACGGGCAATCGGCAATGTGGAAGTCCACTGGGTGTGTAGCACTCGGCTCTTCATCTCCTACCTTGACTTTTAGGCGCGCCGTTCCTAACACCTTCACTTTCGCTCCGGAGAAGCCGACAAGTTGGGCTTCTGAAGCTTGCATCACTTCCGGAGGTGTTTGCATTTGGCGCCAACAAGAGTAGAAGAGTATGTCAGCGGAACTCCCACTATCCACCAGTACTCTGAACACCTTGAAACCTTCTACTTGTATGTTGATGACGAGAGGGCTCTCAGACGGGCCCTCTGGAGGATAGTCTTGTGATGTAAACGACAGGTCTGGACCATCCTGTTTTGCGATCTTCATACACCATGTGTCGTTTGCTTGCCCCTTGCGCTTCTTCTTTCGGCTAGGCTCCCCTCCCGCGATGGTTCTTATCTCCTTGACGTTTGGGTTGGGACCTAGGCGCTCCTGTACTGGTGGCCTGGCGACCGGGGAGCGACTGCGCTCCCGCGGGGATTGGTTTCCCTGATCTGCCTTTTGGATCATCTCCCTTACCCCTCCTCGATCGGAGATTATCTTGAGCGCCTTTTTGAAGTAGTGGCAGTCGACGGTGTTGTGAGTGCGCGAGTTGTGATACTCACAGTACATGTTCGCCTGCCCACGAGATTGGTTCGCGTTCTCGCGATTGGTGCGGTCGCGGCGAGGCTCTTGTGAATTTGCAAGAACGTCTCTTCTTACCCAGACATTGGGACGTCGGGCATCATCCCGTCGATCAGGACTCCGCCTTCTGGTCCTAGGCGCCTCGCCCCTCCCACTCTGAGCTGGGCGCCTAGAGCTACCTCCTTGTTCTTCTTCCTTTGACCCTAGCGCCTCCTCCATGAGAATTGCCTTTTGAATTTTTTCCTCCAGCTCGGCCACCTGTCTTATCTCTCTTTTGGCCAGAGAGCGCCTTAGTTCTTCGTTAGTACTGGCGTCCATTAGGTTGGTGCGCATGAGTGGAGGGGTTAGGTCTTTAACATCGGACGCAACCTCCCACCATCGCCCCATGAAGTGCCTGAGGCTCTCTCCCCTTCTTTGCTTAAGGTTGACAAGTGCCCGGACCGTCAGCGTCTGCCTCTTCTGGCTTGCATACTTCGTTGTGAATAGCAATGCGAATTGAGCGAAGCTCTGAATGATGCCCTCCGGAAGCGACGAGTACCAACTACTGCACGCTCCGGTGAAGGTTGAGGGGAATGCCTTGCACAAGGCGGCGTCGGACGCGTTGAGAAGTTGCATTTTACGGCAGAACGCACTCAAGTGATCCTCGGGATCAGACTTTCCTTCATATGATGGTAGACCGATGCTTGCGAAATTTGGTGGGATTGGTGTCTCGAGCACTCCTTTTGACAATGGTTGTCTAATGATTTGAGAACTTCTTTCCTCCAAGGCGCCATAGTTGAGTCGGGCGTACTTTTCCAAGTAGACATCGTCGTCTGCTTCCATTGCATCCTCATTTGGCGAGGCGCCTACACCCTCCCTTGGAGAGTTCGTGGGAGGCGCCTCAGCTTCCAGCATTTTTCCTCGGAGGCGCCTCCTCTCTTCCATGGCTTCTTGTGAGTTGGGAGGCGCCTGGTCGTTACCTTTGGTGAGCGCCGTCAATGCGGTCATGACTTGGTCTAGTTGGCCTTGCATGCTCGCCATTTGGAGCGCTTGCTTTTCCCGGAGCTTTGCCAGTTGGTCCTCCATGCGCCCCGCGCCTTCTCCATTTCCCGATGGGTCCTCGTCGTCGGATGCTTCCAAACCTTGAATGGTGAGTGGTTGAGGGTTAATTGCTTCACGACCAACAACTTGCTTGAGTGGCGTCTTTGTAGGCGCCGGACTCCTTTCCTCCCCCTTCTTTGAGTTGGAAGCGTCTTTCAAAGTCATGCTTGGCCCCACGGTGGGCGCCAATTGTTTGAGCCCGATCGACTGGGGGTCGCTCGGGTCCAAGGGGTTTGGGGTATCAACCATGACCTTGAAGGGATAGGCGCCCCTCCTCGTCCGAAGAAGAAGAAGAGAAGTAGTATGTAGTAAGAGAAAGTAGAGAGAAGTGAGAGTAAAGAGTAGATGATCTTATTTATGAGGAGAGAACTCCTATTTATACACAATTGAGAGTTAGGTAGTGGTCTGGGCGCCTGCCAAGCCATAAATGCTCTGGTCGGGCGCCTCAGACTCTCTGACACTGTTCATAGTCCTTTTGGCAGAGGGTGTCCCCCTGTCCCTTGTCCTTGCTGACGTCAGGTGCCTGAGCTTGTCCCTTTGCCCCTTGGCCTTGTCTTTTTCTCTTTGTCTTCTTTTCTTCATTATGTCCTTAACTAGGCCTTGCCTTGAGGATTACTAATGTACCCTATCAGGTGAGAATTGGGATGTTTGGAATTGCAACTTTGATTGGTTTTGAATCCTACAACTTTTCCCCTTAGCCAAAGTAAAAAACCATGTAGTCACACTAGTAGGTGGTTATCGGTTTTCTTATCTGTTAACCGTTAACCGATTAATCGGTTAGCGGTTAACCACTAATCAAAATACTACTAACCGAAACCGAAATCAATAAGAAAGTAGCGGTTATCGGTTAACCACTAACCGACTTTATCGGTTCGGTTATCGGTTAAAACCGATAACCGACTAACCGTTTATCACCCCTACAGACCCGTCCCATGGCAGGGAGGGTTCAGGTCAGGTAATTGATCACGGGTCGCGGGTCGGGGCAGGTCGACCCAATGGGTATGCAATTTATTTGAAAAACATTAGAAATATTCGTTATTTTTATTATAAAACTAAGAAAATAAACAATATTATGACAATTGAGTTAAATTATTGGAGAAATTGAGATTTTCACTAATTTACAACTTTATTATAGCTAAAATATGATGCGATAAAAATAAAATTCAAAGTAATTTGATTAAGATTTCATGTAATTTAGACAAGAACGGGTCGAGAATGGGGCGGGTCAGGACAGGTCGGGTCGATGAGACTACCCATGCCCGCCCCAAAACAGGTCAAACAGATCGGGTAAAACGGGTCATGTCGAAATTGCCATCCCTACATAAAAGTGAGAAAAGTGACAACTAACTTCCAGGAGCCATGTAACTTTTGAGTTTGACATTTTTTTAACCTTTTATCTAGAGCCAAACACCGGTTTGAGGCCGGTTTTTAATACCGATTAATTAACGGTTATCCGATAAATTTTGAACCTCTCGTTCATCCGGATCGATATCCGGTTCGGTTTTGACAACACTGGTAATTACAATAATTTGAGTTGTTGGGAGAAGTTGTAAAACGAATCTTATCATCACTTTGTACCACAACGTTTGGATTCTTCCAAATGAAAGTCAACACCAGCATCTAAAATTTGCATATATCAACTATATTTTTTTGTTAAACCAACTCTTAATATGATAAATTATGAAATTCGAATTCCAAACATTTCAATCAAAATCTTGGCATATCCTCTTTCTCTAATTACAATTGAATTCATACAACACCTACATCGCATGATATAGACTTACACCGACATAGCCACACACGAACATAAAATCAAACACCTACTCCACTTCCACCCACAAGATTGAAAGCAAAAAGACAAGAACTCCCACAATAGCAGAGAAAACCCAAAAACAGAGCTTGATTGGCAAAATACATTTCTGTGATTCTATTTCTAACTTACTAATTCGATGGAGGGTTTGATTCATCAAGGAAGGCCAAAACCCCAACTTTTACCTTTTTCACTAAAGTCCAAGCAGTAGTTTTCCCCACAAAAAGCACCATTATCTATCCATTATCATAGAAGGAGATCAAATCAACTAATCTCTAACACTTAACATGACGAGACCTGGAAGAAGAAGAAGCATAGAGGTTAACCAGAGCCAAAGCATTACTAGTGAACCGAGCAATTCTCCCCACGTGCTTCTCCACTATCTTCTTCACATTCCGCTTCACCCCCGGCGAGTCCGTCGGCACCTCCTCAAACCCGTCCGTACAGGTGTCGTCGTCGGTCTCCGCCGCGCTCACCCACGTCTGCACGTCCCCAATCATCCGGCAGAACTCGGGTCCTTGGGCCGGGGCCCGGCCCATCTCGCCGATCGACTTGCCCAGCTCGTCCACCGCGTCCTCCACCTCCTCCACGCAGTCCGCCAGCGCCGCCGGCACGCCGGGGATCCTGGACATCCTCTTCATCAGCTTGGACGCCGATTTCGTCACTTTCAGGGTCACGTTTAGCGCCTTCATCGCCAGTTTCTTCGGGTCGGACCCGATCTCGGAGGCGTAAGGGGACAGGGTTCTGTAGCAGCGCATCGGGTACATCGTCGATTTGCAGGAAGTTCTGATGAAATCGGTACTTGGGTTCCGACGCTGTGGCTTCGCCGCCGTCGGTGACGGAACGGCGAGGATTGAATTGATCAATTGGGTAGAGAATACCACAGCGAAAATCGCTGCTGCTACTGACAAACTTCTCATTTTTTTAATCCCCTTGTTCTCTCTCTGTATACTCTGTTTTTCTTGCTGCCAAAACAGGGGATTTGGGAATTTGCTTCTTTTTTCCCCCTTTTGGTACTTGTTTTCTTTGTGAAGAAATGGGGAGGGAGAGCTAATTTATAGAGTGGCTTCGAATACGGAGGGAAATGACTTCAGGGGTTAGATCGCGGATGATTTCTCGTTCTACTGCTGCAGGAAAGTTTAGGTGCATCCAAGCAACCATTTTTGTTTTTTCCCCTTTTTTCGTGGGGGAAATATTCAATTTTGATAACTGGTAGAGGTTAATTTTAGCGAGTGGGGATGTTGATTTTGATTGATTGGAATGGATCGTGGACTGGAGTGGAGTGGATTACATGCTTTTCAGCCGCGTGTTTAATTATAGCTAAGCATAATCAATACATATCTAGGGCGATTTGTGAACTAATCCTTTTAATAATTGGCCACTTATTCATATAACTATAAGAACTATTGTTTTTTTATTATTTGAAAATGGGCTTTGAGTTTTTAGTTTTGGCGACATGTGTTGCATTATGAATTTGAAAGAGTTTATTGTTTGTTAGGTTGAATTTTATTATGAATTATAGATTTTTGCACAAATTTTACCATTCATCAACAAATTCTAAATGAAATGTGTTAACAAACAATGAACTTGTTACAATTCTCGATGCTTGGAATTTGGGTGTCAAATTCGTAACCAAAATCTCACAAGCAAACATCTAATTAGTCAACGTTTTTTTCTCGTAAACAAATATAAAACACTTTTTGTCTTCTTTTCATTTATGACAAACCAATCGCGAATAAAAAATAGGTTTAATACACTTGTATATCCAAAACTTTCACGGTTGTGCCAATAATATCCAAATTTCCCGAAATACCACTTATATCCAATTCCTTCACATTCTTTAGCGGTGTTTTTGGATATACAAGTGTATTTAACCAAATATATATTGGAAAATGGATAGATTTGGCAAAGAACAACTTTAAAACATGGATATAAGTGGTATTCCGGGAAATTTGGATATTATTGGCACAACCGTGAAAGTTTTGGATATACAAGTGTATTTAACCTAAAAAATATGGGGTGGAGACTAATTTAAAAATGATATCCAAACTGTTTTTCTCTATTTGTGTGACTTGAGACAAATAGGTCATCCAATACAATTTGTATTCAATCTAGAGGTTTCTTATTCAAATTTCTTTAAATAGCACCTAATAATAATAATAATAACTAATTCATGAGTATCTTTATAATAAAAAAGGACAAATGGGACTTTGTAAAACAATTCGTGGACTGGTTGATTGCTATTGCATGTTGATGGTTGCTCCAACACAATTTGAAGTAAATTGCATCTGAACCCTCTTGTACCCAACATCCTAAACTATCGGTAACGCTTCGATGGTTGTCTATCGACTCTATGCGGATAAAGTTCATCGCAATTTGCAAACACAGGCAAATAGCATACGCCAGTACGATTATTCTGAATAAACAAGCTCACAATTGCATGGTCTGAAAATGGCGTGGATGCAGTGGTCTGGGTTCAGAGTTGAGACACAGCAATATGACCACTTTCTCAATTATTTAATGTGGAGGAGGAAATAATGTCTGAATAACAAAAGAAAGTTGCACACTGTTGGTTACATGCAAGCGTATAAAATAATTCTGGTTTCGTGGTTGTGGCCGGCAAAAGCGAAAAAGCATCACCGCTTCCCAACATATTCCAACAGAAATGAGAATACCACCATCATAATTACCTGAAAAAAGGAACGATACCCCATAATTACGATTAACAAACGCTAATCATAATATATGTACCATAATTTCAGTAGGGGAAATCCGCAAGCAACCAAAAACCCATGTCATTCCTTTAACAATAAGCTACTCCAAGCCGCCATTGCTGGCCTTTCTTTCCTTTTGCTTCCTATCCCATATCGGATGACAACATTCTTCTCCTGTTTTTAAGTTTGATCAATTGTTTGGAGTATTTTTGATTTGGTTTCGATATGATGTGTTTCAATCGATTGATGAGATTGTCTAGAACAATTCATTCTTGCACATTTCGGATAGATTTATAACAATCAAATAAATAGAATGCATGTTTATAATATATCTTTGACTTTGTGTACATGTAATACTTCATAGTCAGTTTGCAATGAAGTGAGGGATACGGAGGTTGTAAACTGCATCACAAAATTTTAAGCTTAAATTTTTCAAAATTTTTACTAATTATTAATTGAAATTTACAAGCTCTTGGATTAACCTTCTGCATACGATTATGATGAATCTATTGTACCATAAACACGCCCAACAATCAGCGTAGAAGTCACACATCCCATGCTCTCATATCGCTATTCAACATGTTACTACCTAGGAAGGGATGGATACTTTCTAAGTTCCACCTCAAAATGGTTCCTCAACGGGGAGGGATGTCAATCGTTTGGTTCTTTAGAAAGGTTTTCCGTATTTTAACATTTCATCATACGGAAACACATATAACTGACGATTCTCTTTACACTCGACTTTGACTCAACTAATTATTCACCGACACACTTAGTATGTGAATATATAAACATTTTAGACTAAAAAACACGCTAGCAAGGTAAATTGACGAGTACAGACCATTAAACGAGCTATGAAGACGACTCTAAGCACAAATTCCATACAAAACCATGATCATTTCATAAGAAATAGTAGTGTGGTGTATTATTGTCTAAATAATAAATATATATACAGGCAAGAAGCACAGCTTCAAACTATTATTATCAATTTATCAATGATTTGAACTATGAGTATAAAGGACCAACACAAAGGGATTGATATCACCAGCGGTCCGATGTTTCCATTTCTTGGTTTTTGTCCCTTTTACTGTTGTTTTACCCCCAACTAATTTCTCTTGCAATTTGACATCCTTTTCACCTTACAATTATGTTAATCACTGTTTGACCTGTAAGTTGGTGTACTATTTTCAACTGTTGGAGTCGCAGGTTGTAGCTTCTGTTTGTATTTTGTACCAAAGAGATGGTTGGAAAAATATCATCCGCATGTAAGGTTTTTGGGAATTCCCAATGAAGCATATGAGAGTCGTCAGTAATTAAGCAACACGATAGAAGGGGAGGAATTGAGGACAGAATTTGAGAGAATAATTGAGAGGAAAATCGAGGGAAATAGAAACGGAGAAGAGATTTGGAAAAAATATGAAGGGCAATGTCTATTTTTTACCCAAATCTTTTTCAGATTCTTTTATTTTAACCAAACCTATAGAAATTCTATTTATTATCCAAACGTATTATAATTTATCAAAGTCTGGGCATTCATTCGGTTACCGTTACTTATTTCGTCCACGTGAGGGGTGGGATTTTGTTTTGTTTTTTTATAATCTTTTTATTAAAAATAGTAAATGATGGTATTTTGACCGCCATGTAGGAAGTCAACTCATTATGGTCATACTTAGTCAGCATTACTAACAGAAAAGTTGACGGAGAGTTAACGTTTGGATAATTTTTAGGAATTTTATAGGTTTGGTTAAAATAAAAGAATCTGAAAAAAGTTTGGGTAAAAAATAGACATTGCCCAAATATGAAATTCGATTAGTGTTCTTTTTCAAATGTGAGAAATAATTCAAAATTATTTATGTATTGAAATTCAAATAAACCAAAGATACCACCCAATTCTACTCTTACTAAATTGTTCGAATTAATTGAGGTTCTATCATGCAATACATGTGCCAAGAAAATCTAATGGGACTTTTAGGTCTGTATTTTGGGATTTGGCTTGCGTTTTACGATTTTAATCGCGATATGACTGAGGGCACATTAATATTTGTACAGTCTATTAGTCGAATTCGACAAAAGGCCTCAAATCGAGTCTATTCATTTCTCACAAGTATTGTCCCTCATCCTTGTAATTCTTGGTCATCTTTGCGTAATGACAAACATATTATGCATTACTTTTCATTGTTAATCAGAAAACAATAAGATACCCCTTTCCAGCCCCACTCAAATGACCTTCTAATCAACCAAATGGTATAGCATTAGATAGGCTTTTTGGACATAAGATCCATTTGCAGAATAAGTTTTGCTAAAACCCCAACTCCTAAAATCAGTTGGAGAACATGGGCCGATTCAGAACTGACTGCACAAGAAAGGGCTTTCCTTGGAGCAAAGGAAGCTTTTAATGTTGCCTTTGAGTGTTGAACACTATCTACTGCCACTCAGCCACACAGAGACAGATCAGTGCAATTCACTCAGAGCCAATTAATAAAGTATTTGTAAGAAGAGTCGAGAGAGTAGTGCAGTTGCAGTTGGACGATGAAGATTGATGACTCTCAATTTTGGTCCCCAAAAACCTTCTTTTTGTCCTTGTTCTAACAATTTCTTGTCTTCCTCATTAATGCTTACTATGCCTCTACCATCCCTTTGGCCGTTGGTACAAATAAATAATTGAGGGAGAGCATATAATTGGAAATATAGCATAAAGAGAGAAAAAAGGAGAAAACAAGTAACAAGTTACAATACTATGCTAAGATTTTGATCAACCATGTTCATTTCTATTGTACCTTAACTTCTTTTTCCTATCATGATGTATTTTTAAACAAAGATGATTACATAATTCGAACCTATCAAACTGACAAGAAAGAAAGTTTGGGTCTTTCTAACCATTAGATTGATGTTCTATTCTTTTCTCGACGAACAAGATACACTAAAAATCTCCAAAAATCTCGCCGAATTGGAAATCTCATTTAACCCCCGATGCCAAGGTCAATAACGACATTGGCATCTCCCTTGGACACCACTTTCTAGAGCCCAAGTCATGTGCACTGTAAAAGAAAACTGCATTGCCCGCATAATTACAGTCCCCTTACATGGTCTAAGCAAGGGTTGCATGTCTCAGAATCAGCAGCATGAACATCAGTGATTTGAAAAGAAGAGGACTTGGCATGAAAACTTGCATCTTTTGAAGAGACAAGAACTGATACACTTATTGGCTGTGGGATCCTTATGCTCTTCATAATTGAGCTCAGCTCAAATAGTGCACCTAAGCTCACATCAATCAATCGATCATTGGAACGGGAGGAGGGATTAGGCCATTCCTTCCAATAATTACCTCTGCTACTACCTAATGTAACATAGTAAGAATGCAAACAACAGTACACAGGAGAAGAGGGTAAACATACACTGATTACAGTCATCACATAGAATTAACCCCACATTGTCAAGCTTCAATTAAAAAAGAGAAGAAAAACTACAAATGTTCTGATACTTTTGCACAGGGGAAAATAACAATTAGTTCTTAACCAACCCTAAACTCTCGCTCTCTCTCTCTCTTAAAATCTACAGCCCTACATGATGTACTTTCTGGTTCCTGTCCTGGGGAGGGGTTAGAAACTCCTTACAAAGCCTCTGCGGATGGATCGACTACTCACTGATGATAATCACATTCATTCATTTTTCAGATTGCAAAAGAATACATTTGCTCATCTTTCCTAAACCTCGCCAACCTCGGCCTCCACATCATGAAGATGCAGGTTAAACTTCGCGAGCTCCTCCTTCAGTTCCTGATCAATGTCGATGCTCGCAAGTCCCTCCAGATCTTCGACGGCATCGACCACTCTTTTGGGAGCTTCGCCACTCAGCATTGGCCTCAGCACGCCAACGACTCTCTTCACCTGTGATTGCTGCAAAACGATATACAATGTTGGTGTAGGATTTCGAGTATAGAGAGAAAAACTACTTTTTACTAATTTTCACTTACGAAGAACACGAGTTTCCTCCTGTAGTCTTCTTCCCCTTGTGCATCAGATTCAGCTCCTGATTCATCCGCATACTAGTTCACCAGAAGATCAACGTAGATGTGATAGTTGAGTTAGCACCACCAAGAAAAAAAATCATCAAATGAATTAAGATCAAAGCATAAAAAGAGTAATCAATAAACCATGTAGAGAGCACATCAAAGAAAAAATACTTTCAGAAAGCTTCAGATTAATACAATGATTACCGACGATATGACGCTTAAACACTGACCATTGGCCAAAACCAAAAGGAGGCAGAAAATCTATAATTTAGCCTAATATCAATACAATGACTAATACTGTTCCCGTTCATGCAACTTTCCACAATCTAATTCCAAATCATTCTAGTGGATGGCCTAAAGAAATGGCTTTGCCATAAATAAGCTTACTTAAAATAGAGTCTCATTCCACAAGCACGTAATGGACAAATATATGCAATCCAACAGGATCAGAAATAAAATACCTTTCATACGAGTAGTTATAAACTGAAAGCGAACAGCACATTTACCAATTATAAAAGGACAGCAAATTCAGTTTTTTTGTTACAGTTGTACACCATTTTTCTCAGATTTCTACTGCGAATTTAGATAGATGTCAAAACTCTAAAGACAATCTGGAAATTTATGCAAATATATCGAGATTCTGGACCTCGTCCTACTGCTCTTTTCGTAGCATACAACCTCTCAGTTGGCCAATGAATTGAGTAACCATCCACGAAAAATAAACTTCAGGTTTACAAATTATGAAATATCCTATCCATGTCATCTATGCCAAGGACTAAGATCTTAACTGTAAAAGCCCTCATGAGTCATGAATAGATGTTACATTTCCCATGATGACTAAAACATCTGCTAAATTGAATTATCCCATTACTCGAGAAAACAGGAAGGAATAGAACTTATCAGTATCACAAAATAACTATTTTCAGCAACCAAATTATGTGATGACCGTTTACTGCACTACTAAAAGCATATTGAAAACTTATCGGTATCACAAAAATAACTATTTTGAGTAACCAAATTACAAGGATGACGTTTTACTGCACTTCTGAAAGCACACTGAAAAGAAAGCAGGCTCTTAATTTTCATTTACCCTTGCAAAGCTTAAGCAGATCACTTATGGTAGTAATTATGCTAGTGTTATCAATCTTATCATATGGGTTCCACAAAGAAAAGAGGAAATTTCACTGCTTTGCTAAATACAAACAACTAATGGCCAATTTAAGCTACAAAGAGACATAAGCATCATTCATCACCAAACCAAAAAGAATAAACAGAAGGTCAAAAGAACAATCTCAAGTCTTAATGTATGAACAATTAATGCTCATAATTAAAACCCAGGAGCTCCATATCTTATGTGTGATAAAAAAAATATCTAGTGCAGAGGAGTCGCGATTAGAACAAAAATATCAGATTTATTACACAAGAAAAGAAGAAGAAATTAAATCAAGCAAAATGGCCATACACTAAAATTCATTTGAATGAACTCCAGAATACAATCAGCAATTCAATCAAGCGAACTACGACATTTCGAAATTAACTGCTTTATCCTTGAATTTAGCATTGGATATATGTTTGATGTGCATGCAGCATTATATTTTCAGTGAACGAATAGTATATTTGCTATAATCAAATTTCACATTCCAATTATCACAACCAGCTTTTAGATTGCCGGGCACTGTTTGGATAAAATGTCCACAAACAATTATCAGATCAAAAGCATGCACACAAATAAGCAATCACCAAAATGGTGTAAAGTACCTTCCTTGGGCGACCAACTGGCCTCCCACTCCTTCTTGGCTCCGAGATGCCATCGTTCGGTCCAGCATGCTTCTCAAGAAGCATTCCCACACCAACACCGGCAGCAATCGAGCCTGTACCCTTCCTCGGTCGGCCCCTTGGCCTCGGCACACTAGCTAACGGCATTGCTTCAAGGTTAGCATAAGGAACCGCAACAGAATTGGCCTGGTTCTTAGGAGGGCGGCCAGGGCGCCTCTTATACCCATTAGCTCCAGACACAGCTGCCACGGTCTTGGGTTTCGGCTTCCTGGGCCTCCCTGGACTTCTCTTCTTTGCACTGAGTCCCAATGCGCTCTTCGGCGGCCTCCCTCTCCCCCTCTTCCCAATCACAAGCCCACTAGCATCAACCCCCAGAGGGTTCTTAGGAGGACGTCCCCGCCCTCTCTTCACAGTAGCAGTACCATCCTCCTCTGTCACCCCAATGGGAACCGTGACAGGTTGAGTCGCCCCCTGAACTTGCTCCTCCATATTAACATTACCATCCACAGAGGAAGAGTAATGCCCCGTCGTCGGCTGGCCGTTGGCAGAAAACCCTGGAGGCAGAGAATCAACCACCGGCTGAGAAACATGTTGTTCAGGCTGGCCATTGGGTAGAACGGCTTCAGCAGATAGCGGTGGGGTAGTTGTGGGCTTCGCCTTAGGAGGCCTGCCACGGCCTCTTTTAGGCCCAACAGAAGGAGAAAGCGGCCCTTCAGCTGACTGCTGCGTCGGCGGGGGAGGCGGCGGCGGTTGAACGGAAGATTCGAGAGAAAGGTCTGGGAGGTCGTTGATGTTGGTGGTGGAACCAGATCCGCGCAGCTTGTAAGATTTTTTCACCATTTCGACCATCCCTTTGCTTTTTAATTCCTTCAAGCAGTCAGCCAGCAGGTCCGCGTGGTTCGGTGGAAGTTGCCCAGGGTAAGCATGTTCGAGAAACTTCGTTATCGCCCTCTTGCTAGAACCATCGCGTTCTTTCAACGCAGTAAGCGCCGCGTAAATCATCTAATAACAACACCCAAACCAGAAAATTTCAAAAATAGATTGAGAAAAAAAAAACAGATCAGGTTTCTTGAAGTCAAAATTGAAAAAAGGGAAAATTTTAGTATTTTAAGTTCTTCAGAGGTACTGGACTAGGGTTTTTTCCCCTCTTTTTTTGTGGTGATTATTTTTTCTTTTTGTTACCTCGGCGTAGTTAGGGTGACGGCTTGGCTGAAATCCAGCCGGACCTTGCACAGTGGTGGCGGTGGAGGTCGGAGTCGGAGCTGAAGCAGCGGAAGGAGCAAAAAGGACTGGTGTTGGTCCAGCTTGTGGGGGGAAGTTGGGGAAAGAGTGCTGGGAAACATAGTTGTGCGGCTGCAGGCCGGCGGCGTCCGAGAAGGTGACGGTGGAGTAGGTTGCGGTGGCGCCGGCGGTCGGAGGAGGTTGGACCCACTGCTGGAGAGGGTTGTGGAGCGGATGCGGATCCATGGGTTGGTTTTCTTTCTAGAGAGAGAAAGGAGAAGATAAGAATTGAAGGGTGGGAGAGAGAGATAGGAAGGAAAGATTTTAATTTCTTTTTCCCCAATACACAAAAGAAGAAAAATTATAATTTATGGGGGAAAATAAAATTAGGGTTAAGGGGGAAAAAAACTAAAAAGAGAAGCAGCGTTGGGTAGGTGGTAAAGGCGTGGGCGTGAATGAGAGGGTGATAAGGGTATATCCGTCTTTCCGTAATTCTTATTTGCCCCCTGCTGTGTTGATTTAGCGGAGATGGAAATCGGCCCGTCCAAACCAAGGATGACCGGAAGAGAAATGAGGCTAGGATCGATGACGTGGAAAATACGTTGTCGTATTCGTTTCCACAGTTCCGGTGGTCAACAGTCAACACAGCAACGGCAAGAAAATATAAGGCAAGCGCAGAAAACTAGAAAAGAAATAAAAAAAATTAATAATAATAATTTAGAAGCTGAATTCAAATAAAATCTCTCCCTTTCTACCATAATCGCTTTCTCTCTCTAACTGTCTGTGGAACCAGAAGAAGAAGAAACACAGTAGACTGTGGAGTATTATTAGAGGAAGGTAGCGAGTTGTCCAACCCGACCCGAGTCCACTCTCGACTAACTGTTCAAAATGAAGGGGGAAAAGTGCGGCGACGGCTCCGAGCAGAATAACAGGCGGCAGCCAAATTTCGAATGTGGTCAATAAGTTTATGTTTACGCCTAAAATAATCCTGTATAATATTGATGGTTTACAAGGCAATTAATGAATTTAAGTTTCGTTTGGAAGTTGAGAATGTTAAATCATTGCATTGTAATGAATTATCATAATATAAATGCATGTATTGATACAATGAATGTATTTTAATAATATATTGTTTGGTTGTTGAGATTCTACTTTATGCATTGATTTACATAAAATTACCTTTATGGGAAAATGTCATATTACCCTCAACTTTTAGAATAAACAAAAACTATTGGAGATATAAATGGAAAGATAAAGTTGACACAAATTTAAAACCAACAATCACAACAATATCAACTTTTAGTTGAGATTGTATAATTCATCATTTTTTGTGATTGTTAGTGGGACCTATCTCAAACATACAAGGGAAATGTCAAAACAAAGCCCAAACACAAACCCAAAACACAAAACAAACCCAAATCAAATTCAAGTCATATTATAACACAATGCATGCATTGTTTAACACTTTGGCACTTCCAAACATTGTATTGTGCACAATACATGTATTCAACAAACATAATTTTAACAATCACAACTTCCAAACGACCCCTTAGTGAATATTGATTTTAAGCCCAAATCACTAAGGGGTCGTTTGAAAGTTATGATCCTAGATGAATGATTCTTTGTATTCATGTATTCTGGAGAATCAATCATCTTTTTGTTCCAAAACTTTATTCAATACATGCATTTGAGGTGGGCCCTCAAATCTCATATCAGCCACAATCACTCATTTTCAATCTCAACAAAAATGTGGGATTCTTCCTTTGAGATTGTGAGCTTTAATTTGTTCCACTTTTAGCTCATAAAGTGATTTTTTCTTTTCGTTAATTTTTTTGAATGAATACAACCAAAAAAGATATTCTTCCAATCGTATAATTCTTACAATCTTTGTATTTACAATAGATGTATTCATCAAATACACAATTAGAAGAATATCAACTTCCAAACGACCCCTAAGACACAATAAGCATGGACATGATTCAATGAAGGATATGGGCCTTTCGTAAGAGTTAATGTCACACCACGAGATTTTATAATAAAAAACCCATAGACGTGAGGAATAAGTCGAGCCGCAAAATTCCTTTCATCCAAGCAAATGGCGGCAGGATACCTTGCCCAATAAGTACCCTCGTGAGATGTGATTTGAGGAACCCATGTGTGATGCATGGACGACTAGTCAGAGAAGAAAAAACCCCGTTCAAAGCCATAATCCTTCAATGGTGGTCCTTTTTAAGTCGCGAGTTAGCGGACATCGTGCTGAGAAAGTGTATCGTCAAATCGGGTTTCAATCTTGTTTTCGAGTTGATGCATGGGTCATGATGGCGATGAAGAGCACATGACGTGGTTACAGGTCAAGAAGCCATGCCATGAGAAGTATCTCTCAATGAGACAAAAATTACTAAGTCTGAAAGGCCCATGCCACTTTACGAGAATGCGCATGGACGCGAGACAAGAGGTCCTAGGCACGATTGAAAAAATACTAAGTATAAGAAGTCATGTCGTGTCATGGGAAGGGCCACAACCATTATTGAGAAGTACATGGCCGCGAATAAAGAGGCCATGTCGCCTCATGACCAAAACCGAACGACCCAAAATGTACTAAGTCTGGAAAGGACATGCCACCTTACGAAAGGGCCATGTGCATGATTGAGAAGTCCATGTCGCGTCACGAGAGGGGTCATGGACCCGAATGAGAAGGGTGTGGTGGTGAAGCATTATATCATTAGTGTCTAAGTCTCAAGAGATCCATGGCAGTGAGACAAGAAGGACATGAACATGAGCAAGTAGGGTGGTATTTGGTCGGTATCCGGTTAACTCAATTATCGACGTACCGGTTAGTGGTACACCGAAATGCCCAAAGTTGTCATCGACAAACAGTGCATAGTAATGATCGGTTAACCAGCTAACCGGTTAACGGTTATCGTGCCAGTCATCCGAATACCTGGTAAGCAAGAGGGACTAAATACTTGGCACCGGTTAATCGAGTACATTCTCTGATCCTCCTCATCTTCTCTCCGTCTCCCTTCAATTACTTGATTCGCAATACAAAAAAATGCAAAGGATAGTCGTTGATCCAATCTTCCAACCTCTATCCTGCAAAATTCAATAGCAACAGGCTGAATTATTTTCCTCTGTTGCGCAGTTGGGAGCAGGGAAGATCATTGAAGGAGGATCCGTAGTTGAGGCGGGGATTGGCGAGGGTCAGAGATGGTGAAGACTGGTGTGGTGGAAGACACATTTTTTTTTTTTGAAGAATTCGCCCTCCCCCGAAAAATTGAGATTGCGAGACACATTAAAGTTCAATCTGAGTTCCCCCCAAAAAAGAAAAATAACTTCGAGGGAGGGGTCAAACTTTCTTGTTATTCAGGATTCCAAACTCAACGGTGGCAACTAAACACGAGGGTTGCGCTCGTTGTGGGACTTAGCCCAACACCTTACGACACGAGCTGACGACAGCCGACACGAGCTGACGACAGCCATGCGCCACCTCCAAGTGTGCGTGTTCCCCCCTTCTTCCTTACCATGGGAATTTTGAAATAAATCCGATGTGAGTCAGAGATGTCGTTGTCGCGTCGTGGGAGCTGTTTAGTTCGTCAGAATAAATGCATGTGGAGCTATTGGGGTTGGGGGCTTGTGGTGTTGTAGGCTTTTGTTGCCGAGTTTAGCCAAATATGGAGATTCAGTGGCCTCGAAGATGAAGGAGGGAATTTATTTACCCTCATCGCCATCGCAACACTTCTATGGACGGCCGAACATACAAGTGATGACTGCATGCACAATGGAGATAGAGAGTCTTTGCGCCAAATCTGCAAAATCACGTCGGTCTACAATATCGCGTCAAATTTGATGCTGCTTTTGCTCACCGAATTCGCAAAATTGCGTCGGATTTGTTGCTGCTTCTTCTCATTGGATATGCTATGCCTTGGAAGTTTTGCTAGTTGGCTGTTGCTTCTGCTCTCCTTGCTCTGCTGAGAGTCTTTCGATTTGGGAAGAAGACAAGACGGAGAGAAAAGGAAGGTTTTGCAAGAAGGGAAAGTAAAGGGTGGGTGAGTTTCGGTATATCCATATACCAAGTAACCGTCGGTTACTAACTGGGAAGGAGTCAGCATACCGACAATAGAAATTTTGCCGCCGGTTAACGGTATAACCAGTTATACCATTAACCGCCCTACTCCCAAGAGTAAGAAGTCCATGATCGTGAGGCAAGAGGACCACGACCCCCTTTGTGAGACACCACATGCTTATCAAAGGACTAGCATGGCACTAGATTTGGAACAAGACCAGGCGAGGTAAGCTACACTCCAAGACCCACGAGGGTTCCAAGAGAGGCACCTAGGCGGTTGAATGAGTAACTACCACTTCGAGGAAGCAGGAAGCGCTTATATTGGAATGATTTTGGGAGAGGGAAAGAAGATGAAGTTGTATTTTTGTTGGGGAAGACATGTAGGTACAAACGAGTGCGAGGGGAGAATGGAAGTGGCTAGGCGGTTAGGGTTGAAATTTCGAAGTGAGTTAGGTAAAATCCCAAAATTGAAATATTAGGGGGGGGGGGGGAGGTTTGTATAGGTGATTAAAAAATCTAGAGCCAAAATCCAAATTTGAAATTTAATTTTGTGTCAGTTGTAACCAACGCAATTCAAAGTTTTGTGTCTGTTGGAACCGACACAACATATAACCGACTCTAATAACAAATTTTTTGTGTTGGTTGCTTAATGGACACAAATTTCTGATACAAATCCTAATTTTGTGTCGGTTCATTTAATCGGCACTAAACACATTTTTCTGGTAATGAAAGCATCATCAACATCTTACTAGATCGGAGTAGATCATGATCATGGCAAGTGCATGTCTGAATTCATTATATATGAAGCAGGTTCTTTCTCAAATCGACCAAATTAGAGTGGCATTTACAATAGATGAACAAGAAATGTGTTGATTGGGTCGTTAAAAAGACATCGGGAGGTTCTCTCCCTTATGAGTATGTCCAAATTCTAGACTTAATCTCTCATTTGTTGCAATAGGCTGTGCTTATATTGCAATCATTCATGAATCAAATTTAACAATTTGACAAAAAAAGATAGTAAAGATGATAATGTTTTCCTCCATTTTACCAAAATGTTGGAAATGATAGGTTTGGGCTCCATCTACATTAGTAAAGTTTAATATTTAACAAGGCATTGATTCTTAGTAAATCAATATTTTTTTTTCTTCAATGAAGCTAAGACCGGTCAACAATTGTCAAACGTTAACAAGTGCTCATTGACAATATACAATGCTGTATCTTTGTAATATTTTGACACAAAAAAGTCAAAGCAAGACGCATCACCGACATATAACTATAAGACCATATATAATGCAGTACTTTTTTTTTTTTTGTGATAATGCAGTACTTAATGATAGGATGAGGATCATCGATTGCAAGCAAAACAAAAGGAAAAGGTGACGAAACGATGCTCAAAGGCAGAGTATTAAACATATATAGCAAACAAAGGCTACTTCGTTTTATTACTTGTAAGACGACAGTGATTAATACAGTTACACACAAAAGAAACACTAATTAACTACTGCTATTAGTCTAATTAATAACTAAGGATGATGCCGGCCGACACGAGCATGCTTCGCCGCGAACCGCTGAACCAGAGCGAGAGCGTTACTAGTGATCTTAGCCACGTAAACCACCCGGCGCCTGACCCCAACCTTAACCGGACCGTCCATGGCCCGGTCCGCGAACCCTTCAACGCACATGTTCTCGTCGGTCAGCGCCGCGCTGACCCACGTCTGCAGGTTGCTCATGTGCCACTCGAACTTGTCCCCCTCGAGCCCGCCCAGGACGGTGAGCTCCTTGACCGACTGGTCGAGCCGGTTCACCCCGTTGCCCATGTTGCGGGTGCAGTCCTTCACCGCCTGGACCACAGAGGGGTTGGTGTTGGCGTTTTTGGATGCCAGCTCAGCGGATTGGGTGACGTAGGAGGAGACTGACTTGGCCTTGGCGAGGCTGACGGATAGGGCGGCGAGGGCGAGGCGGCGGTGGTCGTTCTGCTGGAGGGTGCGGGCGTAGGAGGAGAGGGATTGGCGGCAGAGGTCGGGGTAGCGGGTGGCGGCGCAGGAGGAGTCGATGAAGGCTGATGATGAGCTGGCGGCGGCGGCGGCGGCGGAGGTGGTGGTGGAGAGGGATAGTGCTATGATGAGAGAAGGAAGGAGGATGAGTGATTTTGCCATCTTTTGGTGGGTTTTTTTTGTTTTGTTTTCTCTACTGGTTTGGAGATTTCGGGGGTGGTGTGGAGTTGTTTATATAGTGGGGAAATGGAGTGAGAGTTATGGACTTATGGTAGTGTGGAGTGATTGATATCTTTCTTTGGTTCCACGAGGGTTCGTGCATTCATTTACAGGCTGTGTCTGCCCACATGCTTTGCTTCCTCTTGGTTTTCATCTCTTTGGCTGGTTTTTGGGTTTGTTAAATCGTTGTTTGCTGGATATAGTTGGATGAGAGATACAGGTGGTGGGAGTGAGTTATTAGAAAAGCTGGAAGTGCAAGTTAGGACTGGGAAATAGATCAGATCATTTTAAAAATTATAGACCAAATCTATTGTGCAATTTGATCTAGATTGTAAATCGTTAAGAATGGTCTGATTTTGTCTTGAGCTTGTAAGTTTTTTTTTTTCTTTTTTACTTTGACAATAGATATATACATCATACATGAACGATGCAATTATGTCTTGTTGGACAAAGATGTTCGTATTGAATATGTGGGTGATTGGCACACAAAAAGAATTTTTTTTTTTGGGTGTGATGAACGAATAATAATGCAGTAGCTTTCATGAAAGGGAGACAAAGAAAACTCATAAGTGCATTAAAATTATAATCACCTTGTTTTCTTAGTTGTTATGGATCATTTTAAATCGAAGCGCTGTCTTCAACGTATGCGTAATAACATACACGTATATAAGAAAATTGGTGTATTGTAGTTTACATCGTTTGGTTTCTGTGATAGTTATTGTAGTGTTTAAATAAATTCATTACTTTTTGGGGGAAGTGTCATTTTTACCCTTCGTTTTTAGTATAAAAAATTAAAAATGCAACACACATAAAAAAAGTATGGACATAGTTGGAAGAAAAAACACAACAATCTCAACCAAAAATTGAAATTTAAAATGAGTAATAGTTTGTGTCATATCAAGCAAACAATGCATGTATTGTTTGTGCAAGACAAAAAATATACATTGTGAACATAACAATGGATTATAGGGGTCGTTTGGATGTGGAAATTCTAAAACGTTGAAATTTGTCTGAATTTCCATGTTCTACAAAACCAAGGAATTGACTTGTGGAAATTGAAAAAATTCACGTTTGGATAGGGTTTAGTTTTGTGGGAATTGATGGTGTGGAATTTGGAAAAAGAAGTAAGAAAACGTGCTAATGTCGAATTACTAGGGGGATGTGTAGTATTCTCAATTACCATATTCATGGTAATTGAAGCCAATTTCCATGGTCTAATTTCCATACCATTTTTTCTCTCCCAAACATAGGTTTTTCACCCACTTACTGCATTATATGGTAATTGGGTCCAATTACTGCATTACATTTCCACATCCAACCAAACTATCCAACCAAACTATCATCAAACCAGTTGAGTATGAGTGATTGTAGTGCCTTCCATGGTCATACTAGATAAGAACATAGACATGATCACACCGGAGCTTTGCATGTGTGGGGGGACAGGGGAGATAACTACGCGAATCCCAGTTCCCAATCACACCGGCCATTCATTGCCAAACCAACTCGTGGTGTTGGATCTTGTAATCCAATTCCCAATCACTTCTACTATAGCTGGCTGGCTTGGTTGTATATTAAGAAGGTTATTATATAATTGAATGCACTAAGCCACTAACTAGCAGAGTAAGATAGAGACTCGATCACTCGAATACGAAGGTCCACAAAAGACGAACAGGAACTAGTACTAATGAATATAGTATTAGTTTGACCCCTAATCAGAGAAGATGACACCGCCACGGGTGAAAATATCTTCAATCAAAGTTCAAAATTGGAGGCAGAGGACAAGCTCTGACAATGAAGTTGTGAATTAAACACTAAACAAAAGAGGAGTTCAAAGTCAACACTCAACTATTAGGCACTTAAGTAGACAAACGCAATCAGATTGTGATCATTGACTCAATAATAATAATAATAATAATAATAATAATAATAATAATAATAATAATAATAATAGGTGAAAAGAGGTTCAAAAACAGTGGCCCTTCAACTTGGGAGGCCAAAGAGACACAGCCTGTCTACGAGATTGCCACTAAAAATATTCACCACATGATCACAGCTACTGAGCTAGCGAGAAGAAGAAAGGGTTCTCGATGGTTCCTTCTTAGACTGCTCATTTAAAAATCATCATAAACAAGTCGAATGAAGATAGTTTGATCCGACAGCTAGCTCTGATTCCATCTTCATTTGACCCTCACGCTCAGCTCCAGAATAACAATATAACTGATCTTCATTTGCTATGTTAGAAAGATGGAGGTTGACTACCAATACCAAGTCAAAGATTTGAAAAACTCGGCTAGAGTTTACCAAGTTGTAACTCATACAATGTGTCATTCTCATGCAAACCATCAACCCGATTTGAAATAAAACCAGATAATTAGGAAGAACACAGATTGTTTTTTCAAAAAGAAAGTGCACATAATTCGAAAGACCTGCAATTTGCATTTCGCAACCCAATGTTGCCAAATATTTGTTGACCATTCCTACTTGTAAGGACCCGATTCATAGTCATCAACAATCGTTATAAACCAGCCCTCTAATCCAGAGCATAATAAGAAGCAGCTATTTAACAAAAGATTAAAGTGAGAGTGAAGCAAAAGGGAGAGAACACAGGACTTGTGTTGGAGACTTGTTTTCCCGCTAACATTAGAAAAGCTGGTTTTCCCACAGGTTGGCAACTCTTAAATTATTTTAACCTTTTGCTCTTTCGATGGGCACTCACGTGCTCGCCGTGAAACCATTTTAGTCGGCAGCTGGAGAAGCAAGCCGTTGCCCCTCCAACTGGCTGCAGAGCAAACACCACATGGCCAACAGATAGCAACTGCACTGCACACGATTCTATACAAAGAACCAGTAGGCATTTGATCAACCGACCAAAATGGTTACATTAATGCAGCAGATCCCAATTCAGCGTACACAATAATTTCCAGAAAACGAGTATAACTCACCACCATTGCTTCAACACTAGGATACAAAATCTGGAACGGCCTAACTCAGATATAAAAACAGACTCAGAGACAGAGAGAGAGAGAGAGAGAGTAGTGTATTCTTTTCCACCTGAGTATTACACAGTCACGTACTTTAGAACAGCCCCACGGATTTTTTCCATGAAATCAGCTGCTTCTTTCTGCACAGGAGGGAACAAAGTTGTCCATACAAAAATGTCAACCGCTGTTAACTAGTGTAGGCAGGAGAGAAATGAATTCAGTAAATCTTGTTTCAGATGTGAAAGTTCAAAAGGAATTAATTTTAATTCTAAGGGTGAGATTAGGGCTGTCCATTTGGTTTTGGTTTTTTGGTTTTAACCAAAACCAAACCAATTGGAAAGCTAATGGTTTCAGTTTTTTGGTTTTAAACCAATAAGCAACTTAATGGATTTGGTTTGGTTAAAACCGAAAAACCAATAGAAACCATTAAGAAACCAATATGAATAAAATTATTTATCAACTAATATATATATATTTTTTTCTTCTGACACGCATGCCAACCAATAATTTGTAATGTCCATTTACCATTATTATGACGTTTATTCAATAAAAAGGAGGGAAATAGGAATAAATATGAGTGTATGAGTACATGTTGGTTTTTGGTTTTTCATACTTAATGGTTTGGTTAACCAAACCAAACCAAATTGACAGCCCTAGGTGAGATTCATGGTGTGGAATTCACGTTTATGATGATTGATATCACTATATCAGCCATTTTGGATGATTATAAATGGTTACAGCATGTCACAAGAGCAAAACTAAAGAACAGAACCAGTCCACTATTACGATTTCTCTTGGGAAGTAGACCTGAAGTGATTACCATTTAGTGCTCGTTCAGATTCCACTCTGAGATTATACTTCAACAATTTCATTATCCATCCCTCCACAATTATCTGTCATGCAGTTCTAATATTTCAAGTACAAAACACTGGCAAGGGAGAGGTTTAGGTAAGAAACTACATGGTAGACAAGTCCTAAGAACTCACAAAGACAGACCAACAGCCACAACTACAGAAAAAACGAAGAAATGGGCAAAGAAAATGCTACCTGATTGCCTTTTTGGGCACTTGAAATGTTTTCATCCAGAAGTGTCAATAAGGATCTATTGAGTTCATTCTTCTCAACCATATCCAATAGCTGAAAATCACACAAAGGCAACAATTAGTATGTGTGAGTGTGAATTTCTTAGAGTATTCAACAGCAAAAACAATCGATTTTCATAATTTGACAGAATACAAACAAATACCGTGGCTTTAATGTCCTTGGATGTCAAGATTGTGGTTAAGCTTTTCCTCGCTGTTACAAGCTCGCCTTGCATCCGATCATATGCTTCTGTAAACCAAAAGAAGCGAGGATTCAGGGTAAGTTTGCACCAAGCAAGCAAAAAGTCTACTCTATAAATAAAAGGGTTTGCAAGTATACTAAGAACCTATTCCTTCCTTCAGTGCCTTCTGCAAGGTTTCCAATTCAACCACTCTGTCCTCCATGTCCTTCAAATGCATCAAGAAACATTTGCAAAAACATGAGTCGTGTGTGCAAGCAACTTAGTCAAAGAAGTTTCAACCAAATTTGAAGCACACCTCAGTCTTTGAAACAGCAAAACGAAGCTGCCCAAGTTCAAATTGCAGATGTCCAAAAAAGTCATCGTTCAGTCTGCAAATATAGCATGTTAGAACATCAAATTTGATAACATGAGGCGGCTCACAGAATGTAGAACCAGTAGCAAAGGTCCAAATATACTCGACACATCAGGATAAAATACAATGCACAGTGCTCGTTACAACAGCAAAAGCCAGTTTGAACTTTCGCGGAACTGTAGCCATCTAATAGTGAAATCTCCTATGCTATGGTACAAGACCCGCTGAAGTTCCAAGGAAAGCGAGAAGCTTGAAGTTCACAATTTCGTTACTCTATTGATCCGGTACGTTCATCCAAGAAGGAACCATCCCAACCAAATTCAGAAATGAGAACCAAACAACAACATCCCAATGCGACTTAGTAATGGCCAATGGCTACAGGCTACAGCGACAAAACACTGGAAGCAGCTTCTTGCGCACTAGAAATCCCTTACTAAAAATAGACGTTTTAGTTCAAACCTTTCGTCATTTGCACAGATTCAATTTTTCCACAGAGGCAAATTCACAAACACAAAGTCTGCAAACTAGAGAAGCACTGACCGTGGCCTAAGCCTGGCAATTTCATACTCGATCTCCTGAGCTTCAGTGTCGAGGAAGTACTCTATCAGTTCCGCCGCAGTATCAGGTATCGCCCGAGACTATCAAATTAACCATAACAACGTGAGGCGCAGAACTCACCAATCACAAAACAACACGAGAGGGCGAAATCGAGCTAATAGAAAATTCAATCAAACTTGATTTTTTCTTACTTCGCGAAGTGCTCGGCGACGCTCTTTCTCTTCGCGGACATGGTTCTCAAACGCCTCGCGAGCGTCGGCGTCCTTCTCAAGCCGTCTCTTGAACTCGAGGCGAGCTAAGTGTCCCGTTGTCTTCTGTGCCCCTAATAATCCCTCCGGATCCTACCTTCGAAAACAGCCACACAGATAACTGTCAGCAATCGCGAGCTTATCCGGAATTCAGCGGAAGAAGAATTTTCGGCAAGGAAATTGTGGCGAGTGTGAAAGGATACCCATGCGACGCAGGAGATTCTCGTGGCGTAGCTGGTTCTTCTCGATGGAATCGTACGGATTCCGAAGGCGGCACTAGGAGTTGAGGATACGCCGAATAGAGCGGCCATTGGTGGCCGTTTGGGAAGCTCTGGAGCAGGAGGAGACTGATGAGGCTCTTCTTTGCTATAGCGTTATCTGGTCTATGAGAATTCAGAGGCTCTGATTTGTTGCTGCGGTGTTCCCGATGGCGGGAAGTATTAACCGTACGTTTGATGCTTGGGGATTCGCATCTCGGACGGTTAGCAGTACAGTCCAATCAAATGGCTGGTGGCCCATATGCGCATTTGGGCTTTTCAAATTTAGCGGACTCTTGTGCATAGGACCATGGGTCTGCATATGGGCTTGTTGTAGTATCTTTTTTGACAATTGGCTTTTGTAGTATCTTTATCTTAATGCTTAAGATTACTACTGATCTTGGAAGATACTTGGGTGTCCCAATGATTCACGGACGGGTGTCAAAAGCTACATACTTCCCCCTTATTGAGAGAATACAATCCAAACTCACAGGGTGGAAAACCAAACTCTTAAGTCCTGCAGGCCGCGAGACTCTTGTGAATTCTACTACAACAACACTGCCGCTACACACCATGGAGACAGCATGGCTTCCATCATCCATCTGCAGACAACTCGATCGTCTTAATCGTGAATTTATTTGGGGAACTACAACTAAACGCCGCCGCCTTCACCTTGTCAATTGGGAATCCATAACGATGCCAAGGCATGATGGGGGACTAGGGATTCATCAATCGCGGCTCTCCAATATTTCTATGCTTGGCAAACTTGTGTGGGGTTTACTTTGCCAAAAGAATGATCTTTGGTGTGCAGTGTTGCGTTCAAAATACGGTCTCCTCTCCGAGTCTCAGCTTCGTCCCAATCAATCATTGACTTGGAAAGGTATTCTCAAAGCTTATACACAGCTCTCATTCGGATTCACATGGCGGGTTGGGGATGGTCGAAGTATACAAATCCAGGAGGATCCTTGGCTTCCTTCAGGTTCACTCACATCTCACTTATTTCCCCTACCGCCGGATACCCTCGTGTCTTTCCTTATTAATTCCTCAGGCCAATGGAATATGAGTCGCATTCACTTTCTATTCCCACCAAATATTGCGGCAGAAATTGAGAGCATTCCACTTCCACTTAACTCTCGGTTGCAAGACAAGTATATTTGGAGATTATCCGACTCTGGTAAATATTCCCCTTCATCTGCATATTGGGCTTTATTTCGCCAACTCATAAGGCAGCGTCCTTTGCTGTACGATTCATGGAAATGGATTTGGCGAATTCCGGGGCCTCGGCGAATATCATTCTTTCTATGGTTATTAAAGCACGACAGCATCCCTACTCAAGTCTTCTTGTCCAGCCGCCATATGGAAGTGGAAACAACCTGCGTTCAATGTTCCATATTCCCGGAGACCGCAATCCATTTGGTACGTGATTGCCCCTCTGTGAAAGCCATATGGCTAAGAATCCTCCCTTCAACACCTGCTGATTTCTTTACTGCAGACATGAATGCTTGGCTACATGATAATGTCATTTTGAATGGGGAACACATTATCCATAAACTCCATTGGAAGAGCTGATTCCTTGCAATTATTTGGAATATATGGAAAGCTCGTAACTCTTTGATACACTCAAGAGATGCATGGCATCCCACCCGCTTCTGGTGCTCCACTTCTGAGTTGGCCAATGAGATTGAAGCGCACGCCAACACCAAATTGAAGCATTCAACTCCACATGTAAGGAGTATGACATATTGGACTCCGCCACCTGTTGGCTTTGTGAAATGCAATGTCGATGGGAGTCATCACCAGGTTCCTCTGTCCACAGCTATTGGCGGGTGCATCAGGACTGAAACAGGTGCTTGGATTGCCGGATTCTCCAATCATATGCCACACTCCTCGATTCTAGCAGCAGAACTTCAAGCCATTAGAGATGGCCTATCACTTGTATGGACATTGGGATATAGAGATGTTCGACTCGAGACAGATTCACAATTGGCAGTTTCTCTAATTCACTCTAGAGACCCGACCTTTCATCACCTTGGAAGCCTAATTAGTGATTGCCGTTCACTCATACAACATAGATGGAATTGCACTATTCACCATATCTTCCGCGAAGCCAATGGAGTCGCCGATATGATGGCTCGTCAAGGTCATACACATCCTCCAGGAGAACGTCTTTGGACAATACCACCTCTGTCGGTGTGTCGTTTGGTCCAAATGGAATGTGGTTTTACTAGTTAGCCTATCTTGTAATTTCTATTTTCTCATGTACCAAAAAAAAAAAGGGACCAGGGGGAATTGGTCTTTTACAGTGACAGCTCTAAAATTCGAATTTCGTGAATAATTTTCACATTTGTGAATCTAGAAACTGTTGAACTTTATAAAATAAAATAAAAGTTGAAATTTCTTCATCTATTTTGAATGTAGAGGCTCTTTCTTAAAACTGAATTTGAATTCGTCTTTGAATAACCAAACCTGTTGGGTTAATTACATAAATCTCACCAAAATTAGGTTCATACCAACGCATTCATCAACTTAATCTGCAACTGTAATGTAATTTGACACAATTAACACAACAATGGCTTCAACTATCTATATAGCTTTCACGTCCAAATTTTCGAGATTTACTCAGTGAAAGTTTGTACAAAAGATAGGACAAATCAATTTCTGTCATAAGTTTGTCAAGATGAAAGTTCAATAGCACGATTTCCGCATAACACTGGAAGTACTGTGATCATTATGTAATTGAACCAATTTCTTGACCAGCAGTCGCAGACTCGCAGGGGAGTCGCGTGGGGCCACGAATTGGGGCCTCTCTTTACTCGTCCGCCTCTGCCAGCGGAGCTCATTACTCAACCTCTGCTTCACAGTTCACACTTCACACCACCACCAAGCGGTTATAAATACAGACACGAAACGAAACCAACACACAGCCTCGCCATCAATTCCGTCGCTTCAGTTACACAGATCCATAAAAGCAAACCACCCCCAAAATCCACCCTCCGGCCTCAAAGCAATGGCTTCCACCACGGCGGCGGCGATGATAGCAGCAGTCCTCCTTCTCCTCGCCACCGCAACCACCGTCACCGAAGCACAGGGCGGCGGCACCAACACCCCGTCGTGCGCGTCGAAGCTGATCCCCTGCGCAAATTACATCAGCAACACCTCCGTCACTCCGCCGGCGAGCTGCTGCGATCCGATCAAGGAAGCCGTGAGGACGGAGCTGCCTTGCCTCTGCAACCTCTACAACACTCCCGGGCTCCTTGCTTCCTTCGGGATCAATGTCACCCAGGCCTTAGGTCTCACCACGCGCTGCGGGATCAGCGCCGATACCAGCTCTTGCAGCAAAGGTAAAGGTTCAATTGAAGCTAATCCGCTTTTGCCGGAATCGCGAATTTGTCGGATTCGCTTCGTTTTCGGAGCTGGAATTTCTCTGGATCGACTTTTTGATTCGAATGTAACTTTTCAATTTCAGTTACGACCGGAGGAGCAGGTTCCCCTACGGCCAGCGCTGTTCCATCGCCACCAGCAGGTGAAATTTCTTTTCATTCTTTCCCCGTCGACGGAATTTCATTTTCTTCGAATTCACAGCTTTACTTTTACTTTTCCTTTTCATTTAGCTCGATAGATTAAGACCCGTTCACCGCCCACCGGCCACGGATCTTTGGCCGTTCTCGACGACCCGTCTTGGTCTTGGCCAGACTTCATAACGTTGAATAATTAAGCAAACAATTAATGAAGCTTCTTCTTCATCAAAAGTATTAATTAATTAATTAATTAATGACCCTAAACCCCTTTTCTATTACCTTTATACCCTTCTCACGGGTTGCTGCAAAGGGCCAGGATCCGACAGAGAAGGGACAGTTAGGGGAAAACAACAGTATTATTTACCCCAAAAGAAAAAAGAAACAGTGTTAATTATATTCACCGTGGATGTGCTCTGCGTAAGGATAAAAAAATAATAATTTTCCTTTCAAATACTAATGCTGGAATTAACCAACAATTCAGTCAAACTCTAAATGGTAGAGCTAGTACTAGATTGGATTCCGTTTCTCAATTTTAAGAATTTCGGTTTCGACTTTGATAGGATTGTAATAAACTGAATGAAATCGTTTTTAATATATGGTTTTGATCCTTAAATTTGCTTGATTTTTCAATCCGGTCCTATACTAATTCGATTGGCTTCCGATTTCGAGCCATATTGGGTCATGCATTCCAGGCCCACCATAACAAAATGAAAAGAAACGTTTCGCGAAGGAAGAAAAAAAAAGTGTCATGCAGTTTGTTATAGAGTAGTTCATGCTTCTCTTGGTATGAAAAGAAGTTTGAAGCAGAGTAGAATACGATCGCTTGAACTCATAATTGGCGTGTGTGGCGTTCTAGATTTGTTAGGAAATGCGAACAGTAAACCCACGCTGCATTATTCTTTTGGGCAAACAGAAACGGCTTTTTTTTACTATTCTGAACTTGTGCTGTGCTGTGTCAACTCTCAGTCTCAACTCATCCCTTGTTGGTTAGCCATTTAGCTCAAGGAACATGTGATGTGAGGACTCCTTTGTGGAGGGAGTTATTAATTTGGTCTCTGCCAGGGAGAGAAAAGAGGTCCACGTGCCACTAATCTTCCTCTTCATTTACTTCCAAAGTTCAAACCCTATATAGAATTGAACGCCAGGCTTTTGTCTTCATCGTGCGATGGCATTTGCTCTTTCGGCGCCTTAATTCTTAGACTCCAATAATTCCCGTGGCAATAAGTTATGTCTGTCTACATCTGATTGTCCTAATTCCCCAAAGGTTTCTTTTAGGCAGTGTGATCCGTGATTGCCTGATTGGGAGTAGGAGGAAGAATACAATTCGTTAGAGATCCCGTTTGGATCTTCATTCCTCACGGGCCTCATTTCAGTTCATTAAAATAAGGGTTTTGGTTAAGCCATAGTTTAATTAGCTCGCCATGAATGACCTCTTCAAACTAATCAGTCATTTTTAGTTTATTGGTTTTACTTGACCGTTTTGTTTTGTGCGTTTGGTTGATGTGGCAGGGTCGAACTCGAACAACGGGAGCAGGATGATGGCATGGACTGGATTCTGGAGCTTTGGCTTGATATGGGTTGCATCGTTGTTGTTTTAGAGACATTATAATTGTCTAGTGTTTGTGACATTTGTAGAGGAGAGGGTGGGGATTGTGACATTGTTTGTGGATTAAGGATTATGCAGGGAGAGAGAGGGGGAGAGAGTAATTAAGTTGTTGGGTTTATGTTAAGGTACTGTGGTCTGTGGCTAATAGTGTCAAGGATGTTGTTTGTTGAGTCTTAGTTATCATTTGATGCTTCAAAGTATTGCTGTTTCATTCTTGTCCCTCGTATTGTCGTCCTTTTCTTCTTCAGTACAACATTCATTTCCTTGATATTGGGGGTGTCGTTCCAATTTTATCATATATCTCCAAGGAAAGACATTGAGGGACACAATAGGAAACCGTTGGAAACTTAATTAACTGCATCATTAGTTGGGAAAAAACATATCAACAACTTCAAGGGATTGACTCACCACATCCCGAATTTAAATCTTCAGCGCAACTGTAAAAAAAGAAGAAAGAAAGATCAACGACGGACGCCCAACCAAGAAATGCAGCATCCGGTAGGAATTGTGAAATATGTTGGGCTTTGCCCCCGCAGTCTGCTAATTATCTGGGCCATCATTTAAATTTGGGTTGAGAGAATATTGAAAGAAGAAATCCCACCACAGGACCTGGTACTGCACACGCAGACTGCTTTTACTGCTCATGCTGACCGAGATGTACTGTTATAACCCGGAAGCTGGCGTTGTGTGGGCTGGCGTTGGGTGGGGGCTCATTGGAATCGGACGGGTGTTTGGCGGGTCGGTTGGGATGGAACTTGGTCGTTGGGCTGTTTTGGTCTGCTGGATCGGTTGTGGTCCACGAACGCGTTGGTCACCAGGGCCCTCTCGGTGGCTGGAGCCTGCCCAGTTGCTTGATTGGATGGATTTCAGCCGGGCTTTGCAGGTGATCGACGGATTTGTGGGTGGGAGGCTCAGAGATGGTGGGTGGGGGTCTGGAAGGCTTTGTTGCTCAGTGGTTATGCATGTGGCTTGGGGCAAGGCCATGTTCTTTTAGGGGCTGTGCCTTCTGAAACCTGAGGTCTTCGCTCGTGATGAAAGTGTTCAGAAGATTCACTCGGTTGATTGATCGAGGTCATGTCACTTTTTCCAATTACAAGTTGGAATTAGAGCTGAGAGGGGCCTTTGAGAACGCAAAAATGTTCACCTGGGCGTGCTTATCGATTGTGTTTCACATCAATTGCAGGGATGGGCTGCGCTTGGGCGACTGTCACTGTTTGCCTCTCTCTACTTGGAAAACCTCTCCCCATTATGTTTTTCCACTTTAGTATTTAAGCGGTTTTCTCTCACCTCATGGGTTCTCTGTCGCTTACATTTTCCTGTTCTGATTGTTTCTCTTCTCATCCGTCTGCTGTTTAGGGGCTTCTTTTGTTCTGCATCGGTTCTTCGACGGGGTTTTTGCCCTGTACCTGGGATTATTATGGATGCGGTGTTGTTGTGCAATCTCAAGGGTCCCAGCATAGATGTTATTCTTCGTCTGCGTCTGCTTCATGTGTGGTTTGCGAAGAATCCTGATGGATCCAGGGTATTCAATCACTGTTGTCTATGGGTGGACCAAACGGTACTATAAGATTAACTCTTTAACCTTTTTTTTTTTTTTACCTTTTTACCAATTTTGTTCTCGTTGTGTATTACGTAGTCAGGCCCCCAGCGGGCCTATGTGACATGTTATAACTTATGACTTATGAGACTTCAGGAGACTGAGCCTTTTTTTATTTGAATACTGCAGGAGATATAGATAGCAATTTGAGTCTATCTCGTCGGGTATTTATCCAATCTGAATCGCAGTGAGGCGAGTATTATCCGAATAAAACATGAGTATAATTCGACTTGTTTTTTATAATATCTATCTATATTAAATATATTTATCATATTTTGTTTTTTTCAACTAGTTATATTATTCACCATCAACTATGAAAAATCAACAAATTAAAAGAAAAGAGTTCAATCTACTTTTGTGTATGGAATATCATCAGTCCATCACTCATGGCCCACGGGGATATCATCAACTAGCATTGGGCCCGGCCCGTTGGCCGGTGGAGGACAAAATCTAATGGTATACTTTGGTTTACTCTATTGTCAGGTTGAGTGAAGAGGTTGCACATATATACTTTGTTCTAGTTTAATTATTTGCCTATGGTACTTTCATACCCTATCCAAACATACTCGTTACCCAAACTCATATATGTTTCACTCATGTCCTTACTCCTTATCAATCAGTTTACTTGGGTTTGAGTGAAAGTATCAGAGTTGAATAATTGAAAAATGACTAAATGGTGTATTTCATAGTTTCAGTTATGGTATTCAATATTCATCAATATATGAGCCTTGACCCTTGAGTAAAAGGCCTACTATTAGTTACCATGAGCACTGAATTACCTTTTATCACCTAAATATCAACATCAATTCCTGCATCTAATTCCCTATTAAAAAAAGTCCTCCACCTAATTGTTGTATTTGTAAATCAGAGCATGATATTTGCCTTCATCTTCTTCAGTCTCGATTAAATCTCAGTTATGAATTTTATTAGTCGAGACAGTCATGAAGCTTTGTTGTAGATTCCTCAGCAACCCATTGGTCGGAGGAGTTTGAGAAAGATAAATAAAATAAAAAAAATATTCTTGCGGTTGAATAATTTAGACATGTCGTAGGAAGTACACAAATGGATATGCCACTGAAAACAAACTATATTAATTGTCCCATAATGGTCAGATCAAACCGTTATTATGGCTAGAAACAGTCGGGTTATTTTGAACCACTAATGGATAAATTGATACACATTTATCTAGAAATAGTTAAGAGTTAAGATCACGATCAAAAGACACTACATGCACCCAGATTAACTTAGCAGAATGGCCAAAGGAACAAAAATACCACAATTAGTAATAGTGAATATCAAATACCAATTCAACATGGAAGACAAAGAAACTGTGCTGGCGACGAAAATCAAAACTTTTATTTGGGATTTGGAACTCCTCAATTATGATTTCTGCTTATGTTCTTCTTTATTACAGTTTCGTTTGCAGTCTTGTGACATATTTGCTTTGAAAATCTGCGAAGCTGCTAATTAGTTCCTAGCAAAGCTAATAGCTACTCATTTCATAGAGAGAGGATCCACTGACTGGGGGAGAGAGGAGCCACAATTTGCAGCTATCCACTATCGGTCGGTTAAGTCCAAACCTCGATAACAACGACTGCCAAGCAAATGCTAAGGTCAGAAAGTTCAAATTAGTCACCGGAAAGGGAATAAAAGGATGACATCGTGTTTCCAGCGGCGATGGCTCTGCGGTGCGAGGACCTGATTGAAGATGGAAGATACAACAGGCTTAGAGAAGGAATTCGAGGGAGTGGGATCGAATTTGTGACAGATTGAAGATGGAAGAGCGGATCCAACCTCCCCTTTGTCTCCTTTCTCGATTCCCCCTAGCCACCGACGAACTACCACCTCCCCACAGAGTATAAAATTTCTTTCTCAATTCTGAAACGATGCTTTCTAATCTCTCTTCTAAGTCCCTCTACGCCTCACCTCACCCGCTCTCTTGCAACAATTAGCTCCAATCCACCAACAACAACCCAATTCGTCAACAATCAGTTTTAGATCCAAGCTTCCATCCATCCCCATCGTTTACGTTATCGAGCCCGCCAAGAACCCTGTCAAGGTCTCCCCTGTCGCAGCTGCCCTTGTCGCTGACCACGCCGCCTCTGGACGTTGGCTGTGGGGTCGTCATCGAGGATTGGATCCGAGTTAGGGGTCCTCGGCGCTGATTGGCTACGACAATAGTGGAGCGGGTGGAGGAAGAAGGGAGATGAGGGTCGGAAAGAGACGGCACGAGAGCAGTGGTGAGATTTTCGGCCGGCTAGAAGATAGAAAGCGAGGAATATGGGAAGATCCTCCAAAGTGTACGCAAGGAAAGATGTTCACTTTCCGTTCCGATAGGAGATTGGAAGTTACAGGGAGATGAATTCGGAATTACAAAAAGAACCTTCCGCAATGTGCGGCCGTTTCAGCATAGGTTGACGTGGCAAATGCTTTTTTTTGACATTGCTTTATAGTATTTTTTAGATCAAGCAACAACAAATGAATACGTGAGAGATATCCACAAAATTAATAAAGGATTCATATGAAAATTGGAGGAATATCTTTTAAAATTGCCCGAGCCGTTTGTCTGAATGTTGTTTGAATACAATAAATATGTGTATTTATATTTTTTAAATTATTTGAAATGCTGAATTTCGTATGACATTAACGTGACATCGAAATTATTTTTCAATTTTCGAAATTCTTATAACTTTTCATCAATGATGAACATTGTAAACTTAATGGTTATAAACAAAGTTGTCAAACCGGTTTAAGTCGTTGAGACGGTCAAACAAGTTGTTTGAAGTTTAATGGTTTGATTGAAGTCCAAACTATTTGAGCCATTTTACACATTTTCTAAATATATTTACATATAATATAGGAATTTAGTAACTAAAATGAAATGTACTCACCTATATCTATTAAAAACTAAAATTCCATAAAAAAACACTTATCTCTAGATCCACCCAACACTCACTTGCCTCTCTCCCCCCTCCCCCCCCCCCCCCCCCCCCCTTTTCCTCTCTCTTCTTATCCGTCTCTAACGATTAGGCCTTGGTTTTGTAGAGCCCGTTGTGGAGCACTATTTTGGTCGGACCTAGTCCAAGCAGCTTCCCGGTAAAGGCGTAACAACCTTGGTTGTAACACTCGTGAATAACCATTCATAACTTGTCTATTTAATGATGTAGTCACTTAGTTGCCTATGGTAGCAAAGATAATTGGCATAACAAAAAAAAAAAAGAGTTTGTTTGAAAAAAGCATAGCATAAATAGGAAACTCATGATCATAACCTTTAGTTAATATTTATTTCTTTTGCTTGAGAAACAATACATATATAGCAATATCTAAAACTTAAAGTATTCAGCACAATACAATACCAAAATTAGTAAGACTTTCATGATTTGTCCATGAAAACTCCAGCTCGACTTTCATGATTTGTCTTGTACCGCGGTTATTTCATGTTAAACTAAGTAACTATGAATGATGCATATGTTCAATTAACCTATAAGATAAAAAATTAAAAAAATTGAAATCATATAGAAAAATTGGTATTCAGAAATTGTTGTCTTTTAAACTCGACTTTCAAGAGATTTAGGATTTATCGGTAACCAAACGAAAACTTTCAAAAAACTGGTTACTTACAGTTTGCATAACATTATCGTTGCTTTAATAGTTCTAAAAATCAGTACCAAGTTAAGAATTCTACATCACATATGCACATTAAATATTACAATTCAATATGCAATATTCGAATCAATGATATTTGGGTTGCAATTTTTAAATTATCTTCCATTTATAAGATAGATATAAATTAAATTTATTATTAAACTCAAATTAAAATAATCAAAATATGAAAATTCAAATATCAAATAAAAAATAAAGTACTTACGAGAGAGTTAGTGAACTAGCTAACAGTAATAAAAATGTCGTATGATTTTTAAAGTTTAGGTTTTCAGATTTTGTATTTAAAAAGATACATAATATTTTTTTAATGTAATTGGTAATGATTGTCTTTTTTATTTGGAAAGATCATGATTCAAATAACGAGATTGATATATATTTTTTTATGAATAAAAAGTTAATAATAATTATAACTACTAATTCTGCTATAATATATCTGTAGATAGTAACCGAAAATTAAAAGGATAAATCCCTTCAGAAACATGGACGGACTGACGGTGAAGTCTAGGCCCTAGCCCCTAGGGCCGCGGCGCGCGCCCATTGTTAAACCCGATCGTTATCCAATCCAGTAAAGTAAAACCGAAATCCCTTCAGAATCTCTCCCGGTACTGTAGAGTGTAGACTAGAGAGTCATCGAGGAAGCTACTAGAAGAAGTAAAATCCAACCTAGTCGGCCGGTCTCCCTTCCTTCATTCCACCATCTTCTTCCCTACACTCTCCCACTTCCCACTCCAAAACCATCGAGGAAATTCTCTCCATCTCCGATCTTTCAATCCCCATCCTTCCCTTTGTAAACCTAATCCGTAACTCCAAGCTCGCGCAATGGACGCCGTCAAACTCAAGGAGCTGAAGAACTTCGTCGAGCTCTGCAAGTCCAATCCCTCCGTTCTCACCGATCCCACCCTCGCCTTCTTCCGCGACTACCTCGAGAGGTATCTACTACTTGCCTCTGCTTCTATGCTGAGCTCTCAGTGATGGTTGCTTCTGTTTCTCTGCATTTACTGTTGCCTTTTTTTTTTGTTGCCTTCAGTCTCGGTGCTAAACTACCTCCCGCTGCTTACTCCGGATCGGTAAGCCCGAAGTTTGTTCCTCCCGCTGCTTAGGTTTTCTCGTTTGTGCCTGTTTGTTTTCGTCTTAGGATCGTTGCGTTTCGTGTGTGATTTGCAGAAGAGTCATGTAGACGAGGAGAGCGACGAGGAGATTCCGGAGAAGGAATCGCCGTCGGTTGAGGAACCGGAGGAGGAAGAAGAGGAGGATGAGATAATTGAGTCCGATGTCGAGCTGGAAGGCGAGACTGTTGAGCCTGACAATGATCCTCCGCAAAAGGTAATCGAACGAACTTCTTAGGTCTTCGAATTTCAGTTGTTTGTTATGTGATTGAGACGGTCTTGGAATTGTGCTGCTGTTCTTTAGATGGGAGATTCGTCGGTAGAGGTCACTGAGGAAAGCCGTGATGCTTCACAGGAGGCTAAGGCCAAAGCTATGGAAGCTATCTCCGAAGGCATGACATAAATGTTCATTTCTTCATTGCTAGCCTGCGTCTTGCTTGCTTGCTGTCTATTGAGTGTCATAATAGAATATATTGGTTTTTCGGTCTGTAGGTAAATTAGAAGAAGCTGTTGAGCATTTGACCGAAGCTATCCTGCTCAATCCGCTCTCTGCTATAATGTACGGGACTAGAGGTATGGTGTTCGATTGATTGAATGTTCCTTAGGAGAGACTGCGTGTTGCTGGTTTGAGCTGCTCTCATGATTGGCTTTGTATTCGTGATGACAGCCACTGTTTATATCAAGATGAAGAAACCCAATGCTGCTATTAGGGATGCCAATGCTGCTCTTGAGGTTTGTTGCCTGCTGAACTAGCAATTATATGTAGCTTGAGTATAGTTGTCTAGTTTTAAGCGGTCATTTGAATCTCCAATGGACAGATAAATCCAGACTCCGCTAAGGGGTACAAAGCTCGTGGCATGGCACACTCGTTGCTTGGTCAGTGGGAGGAGGCTGCTAAGGATCTTCACGTTGCGTCTAAGTTGGATTATGATGAGGAGATAAGTGCGGTTCTTAAGAAGGTCTGTCTGATTGTACTCTCACCTATGCCCAGTTTTTACAGTACAGTGCCAATGAAGTGGCGTGGTCCAAGTGTTTCTTACTCTTAATAGTTTTGAGGTGGTTGAGTTAATTGCTGGCTTCTTTTACTGTGTAGGTTGAACCCAATGCACACAAGCTTGAGGAGCACCGTAGGAAGTATGATAGGTTGCGGAAAGAGAGAGAGGATAGAAAGGCTGAGAAGGATAGGCAACGCCGCCGTGCTAAAGCTCAAGTGAGTTGTGATTCACTAACTTAGATTCATCCAAGCTCCATTTCCTTGCTTTTTCTTCATCTATGTGATCTTCTGCTATACTTTCCACCCCCATTAGATAAGTCTCTGAATTTTCAATTTTGTGGTTGTGTGATGCCTATGAAGGCCGAATATGAGAAGGCTAAGAAGCAAGAGCAATCATCTTCCAGTGGAAGACCCGGTGGAATGCCTGGAGGGTTTCCAGGAGGAATGCCTGGAGGTTTCCCAGGAGGCATGCCTGGAGGTTTCCCAGGAGGCATGCCTGGGTTTCCGGGAGCAGGGGGTATGCCTGGAGGGTTTCCAGGAGCAGGAGGTATGCCTGGAGGGTTTCCGGGAGCAGGAGGTATGCCTGGAGGGTTTCCTGGAGCTGGTGGCATGCCAGGTGGAGCGCCTGGAAATGTTGATTTCAGCAAAATACTGAATGTGAGTATTGTCCAAATAATTAATAGGCTGTTTTCTATATTCATCAAAGGTGAGTTAGCTGCTATGGCATTTCATTTGTGTGTCCCACTCTTTTTAAATATATGCCCCTGCATATCTGGTACTACGATTATAATCTGTTTTAGTGGATGCGGTTGGCTTCATTAGCAATGATTTTTTTTTTTACCTCGGAGTAGTATTGACTGGGAGAATATAAAAACTCCTGTATAGTTTTACATTGTTGCTTTCTGTTTGCTATGCTGTTAATTGTATACAATTATTGGCAGGACCCTGACATGATGGCTGCATTTAGCGATCCAGAGATTATGGCTGCTCTTCAAGATGGTAAGTGCTTTTACATGCCAAGTACTCCACAATGCTTCTGTCAGGTCTCTTTGTTTTGTTGTGTCAAATTGTGAACTTCGACCAATTTTGTGTTCTTCATTCATGGTCAACTTCCCTGTTTAACTCGATGCTGGACTTGGAGAATAGGGAATTTTCCCAGTAGATGTAGATGAACAAACCCGGAAATAACAATTCTTAAGGCCATATAAGTTCTCTTGGCCCCTAAAGATTTTGAGACTCCTGAGAACAGATGGGCACTTGCTACAAGGCATTAGATGGGACTTGATTCTGATTAACCTACAAAATGGTTTCCAGGAAAAGAAGAAACTAGAGTTTTAATTTCTTTTAGGTGTTTTTAGCTATGGAATGGTGTTCAATTGGCATAACTACCATTAACTTCTGCTTTGCCTTGGTTAGTGTGATAAGTGATTGGGGTAAAATATTGGGCATGTAATCATTGCAAGTAATCATAACTTAGGCCTCAACTTCTACTTCATTGATGTTTCTGAATATAGATGTATGATGCTTGAATGTTTCACCTTTGTGTTTGTTCCAGTTATGAAGAACCCTGCCAACCTTGCAAAGCACCAGTCTAATCCGAAGGTCGCTCCGGTAATTGCAAAAATGATGAGCAAATTTGCTGGACCGAAGTGAACAATTGTTGTTCCGACTTTCTTCATTGTCGTCCTGGTTTCAGATCATACCTCAAGTCCTCTGTCATGAGCCCATTAGGTCTCTGTTTTTGGGAAAGTTTGTATTGCATCTGTACATGGAATTATGGAAACATCTCCCGTATCTTGAGAGTTCTGGTTGGCAGTCTGTCCATCTTACAGTGAACGATGAATTAGATCGAATTGGCTATAGTTTCCGTTTGCAGCCTTTAGAAATGTGACTCTTGCTCGTTTCTTCAATTTTCTTGGCGACAGAATGAGAAAGCCAATTCACAGAGTCCTTGCTGGTAAAAGATTACAGGGAGTTTTCATATGCTGATATGGCAGCTGGAAACTGCATGCAACTTTCCTTCCCATGTAAGGACTGTGTTGTTTGGCGGCGATTCTAAGTTTGATGTGAAGAGGCAACAGTTCCTTCCTTGGGCGGTTGCTTATGTTTCTCCTTCATTTGTTTGTTTGTTACAATGCTGAAACTTTGAAGCAGGGTAACAAAAGAAAACAACGGATCAGCAGCGATTGGGCGGTTTTATATGGACCAATGAGATGTCCCTTTTGCTTCAGAGGACCTCTCCTAGGACCAACCCCACATGCTTTCTTTATTAGTCCTTTGCTTCAACGCTCTTCAACTATTACAGAGCACACATGCTCCACTTTCTGGACAGATTACAAGAGAATCTGTTGAAGCTGGGTAGTCCACGAGTTATCACTTATCAGTGTATAGGAAGTTATAAACGCTTTTCTCTCCGAGGAGTTTCAAGTAATTGAACCCAATAGTGTCTTTGAATCAGATTAGATTTAGGGCTGAAATTTGGCAATGATGCGTCTCTGGTCCTATCTGGCCAATCCTCGAAGGCAACTTGTGCAATTGACCTGTTTTGTTTCCACCTTTGTTTCCTTCTTGAGCCTATACGATAGTTGGTTCGGCTCAAATCAATATGTTGATTTTTCTGAAATTATAGTTTGGTAACCAAATTTGTTTTTCTTACTATCTCATACCTAAAGCTCATTGTTTTTACAAATAGGCCCACAAAATTTGGTGATAAATTGCGTTTTAGTACCTTTACATTTATACCTTGCATTATAGTACCTAAACTTTTAAAATCTTATAAATAGGCCCTTGGCCCTATATGTTAGTATGAGGAACTTGTTTCATATCATTAGTTGTTGCTATGGACACACGATTAAAAAGTGACCCAGTCCTAAGTAGACCCAACCCTACTCAATCAATACAAGATCAAAAGATGACTTGATTTCAAACTGACCCAACTGACAATAAGATCGGGGCAGATCAATGGATCTCTAGCACCAAGGTTACACCCTTACATTCTACACAGAGCTGACAAATGTGTTGGTACGATTTTCTTTGGGTTGAATTCTCGTGGCGTAGCATTTTGTGAGAAAATCTTCTAATAATCACCAACAAGAATATCAATACAAAAATAGTGGTAAGCTTTTGTTTCTACAATCACAAGAGGGCAGCAAAGCAAAAGACCAGAACTGTGATATGGCACGAGCTAAAGAAAAGCTTCAATTTCCCAAAAGTAACATGCTGCGTTATCCTGTGCTGACAGATCGCAACTTCTCTCAAAACGATTGATCAGCTACACACTTGTACCAACCAATAAGTGGAGTGGAGATTCACTGCTGCTATGTTTTTTATTTTAAATCCTCGAAAGCATGCCTTTTTGTCCCATGTTTTCGATTTGAGTGGAAGCTCTGTAGACATTAATCTCTCACTTTATTAGTCGACCTGGGTTTTAAATTTCTGTTTATGACGATGGATTTACTCTGGGATTACGCAACTAGCTAGCTAGACAACGTAATGATTTGTTCTGTGGCTAGCTAGCTATACACTGCATATGTGTTAGTATAGTCAAATTATGTTGAAATTAGTTCATGAATTAATGTTGGTTGTTCAGAAGTCGCTGTCGCCTGTGTGTTTTTCATTTTTTCTGGTGTTATTATATATAAACCATAATTGGGCAATCTAGCTATACACGCTTGTCAAGTCCATCATATTCAAATTTCAAACTACGTATACTGCATTGTTTTTTTTTTTTTACAAAAATATATTGCATTGCTAGTGGGGGCAAAAGGGTCGCAAGAATTAAGTTGAATATAGAGTATATTTAGGCGGTTTCATGAATTAAGTTGAATATAGAGTATAATTTTGTACCTAACTTGTAATGGATAAATCTCAGATCTTGATTCTTTAAATTTAAATCCAAAAATCAATTTATGTCAAATATCACTTGGAGTATGGTATGCTCTAGGAGTATGTGAGCCGTTACCAGATATATATGACAAAGGTTAGCGTATGTCTATCGTATAATAACTCGCTGTTCACACTTATTAAATGTATTTCTACGAATCAGAACCATCGATTATTATTTTTTGATTAAATTGATTTATATTTTGAGTTTAGAGTATCAAGAATTGAGATTTATCCATTAAAAGCTAGAAAGTAAGGCTCAAACCTCAAAGAGGTTAGCCTATTGATAATATAGATAGACGAGAGAATCCGTTTCACTCCGAATTCGAATGTTGGGACCAACATCCATCCGAAAGATCGATAGGCTCCCATCCCAACAAATCCTAGAACTTTTGGTAGGATCTAATTTCTAAGTTTTTTTTGCCTCTTACAATTCATTGTGATATTTTGTAATCATTTTAATCCTGAAGGTCACGAAAACTTTGGGTAATAGAATTATATTTCCTGAATTTTATGTGATTCCAAACGGGCTATAGTCTTTCAGAGCCGAGATAAACCCCGATAACCCTTATCAACCTGTATATTTCTAGGGTTCAATTGTATTGTACGTAGATGACCAAAAGGGACTGATATAGTTGGATCGCGTCTTGTTCACCTTCTACGTCGGTAGGATAGCCAAGTTTTTGTTTTAGGGAAGTTCAGTGGCGGACCCAGAATTTTTTTATAGGGGTGTCTTCTTTTAAAAAATAAAATAAAATAAATAAAAATAATTAATAAAAATAAAATTATAAATATGAAAATACCTTACTCGTACAGGTTAAAAGAGTCAATGATGTGTTTTCATATTCGAAAATAACTGTAGAATACACTTGGTGTCTATAGTGTTAAAAAAATTGTCTCTATATACACTACTAGACAATCATTCACGAACTTATCGCATATTCGATTTGTAAACTTGTTCTTGATGTAACCAAAACTGAAAGAATCTTTCAACACTTGTCGTACAATCATAAAATCAATACAAATTAAGGGTAGTTTGAGATTAGTTTAATTGTTAGGTTTTTAAAATAATTAGATATAGGGAATGCCATTTTACTATTACACATTGTTCAATTAATAATAATAGTGTTCTAGATTTGAATTATCCAACCTACCACTTATATTCCTATACACAAATGACAGTAGGATAATCATTTTTTCAAATTTAAGGGGTGTCCCTCACTATCAATTAGATTTTTTTTGTCCATACCTAAACCCCCTGGGTTCGCCCCTGGGCAAGTTTGTCAACCTGCTTTAGACTATTGGCTCGACTCCAGTCGAGTAAGTGAGTGAAAAGTTTTTTTTTTGGATAATGGTGAAAATTGCATAAATCAAAAGGAAAGTCCACAAAAGGTCCAGAACAAAGCTGGGGTTCACAAGCAATGAACCACCCCCCAACAGCACCAACAAAACGATCCGGAAAAACAAAAGCCACAATCCAATCAAAAACAAAAAAGACTGCAACTCAGTGGACCAGACCACTGCTGTTGCAAAGCCGAAAGCCCATGCAGGCCTAAACCCAACCCTGCATAGACACGCAAATCGCAAAAGCGGAAATCACACGCTGCAATCACAAAGGCTGCTAAAGTCAAGAAAAACTATTGATACTCTGCCCACCCAATCTCCTTAGCGTCTCCAACTTCTCGGCCAGCCACTGATAACCTTGATCTTTCTTGACTTTGTTCCTCGTAACCATCCATTCCATAACTGACCTGACAGCAGTTCGAGCCACCACATCAGGGTTGTTCTTGGTGTCGTGGAAGATGCGCCTGTTCCTTTCCAACCACAATTGCCACCAAATAGAATGCAGCAGACAGTAAATAACCCACTCAGAAATTCCCTCAGGATCTCTTCTCGCCCATCTCTCAATAGTAGCCAGGGCATCCCCCCTCGGTGGATCAATGGTCCCGCAAATGTGTTGTATCCTTCTCCAAACAAGTGTTTCAAAGTCACAGCTAACAAGTAGATGATCAACGGTTTCCTCGTTCTTTAAACACAGTTCACAACGATTTGCCAATACCTAACCCTTCTTCTTAAGGTTGTCGATTGTGTGGATTCTCTTATGAGCAACTAACCACATGAAAGCACAAACTGAGCCGTGGCCCGGAGAGACCCCTGGATACGCCACTGAAAATTATAGTACGTACTTGAATTCATCATATAGTACAAATTCAAAAATATTTAAATTCACCATAAAAGTTCTTGATTGACAACTTGAATGAACATGAACAACCTGGGGAATATAGATAGAACTCGTGATTAGAAGAGTTCAAAGCCATCATTTGTGCTTTTACTTCAAAGGATTGAAATCCCAAGATTATGACATGTCAATTTGAAATTATTTATGTAAAATCACTTTAAATCCTAATTACAGTATGAAAAAAAAAAAGATTTGACCCAAACTGAGCAAACTGCAGAAGGAAAAGTCATTTCCCCCTTTCTTAAACAATAAAGGAAAGCTTGAATTTGATATGAAGTGATAGTAGCGTGAGATTTGTACCTGTGAAAACCAAGCAAAGTGGCCTTATGGAATGAAAGTTCGTTGATCGATTTTGCCAAGTTTTGACCGGGTCGAAGCCAATTTTGCCAGATTTTGACCGGATTGAAGAGAGTTTGATGAATCAGGGGGAAGTTCAAAATGGATGTGCGACAAATATTTTTTCCACCGCAGTTGGGTCAGTTCGCGGGTTAACAACCTTGATTTTGGGATGAGTTCATTGTAAACTATTTTTGTTTAGAAGTTTATCACAACTTTGAAATCAAACGCACTAAAACGACAATAATACTACTAAAATTGATGACATCTTGAAAAGTACTCGTGTTGCATCTTTCTTTAGATACAACTAGAATTCAAAACGTTTGTATTTGATAATAATCAAATATAAGTATTTGGTAAATGTTAGGAGAAGTCACCTTGAGTTTCAAATCTGAAATCTCCAAATTGAAATCTCGCAATCATACCTCTAAACCAAAACCTATAGAAATCTCCCATTTTGAGACATGATTAGAATTCAAAACGTTTGTATTTGATAAGTATCCAATATATTTTTATATGCTAGGAGAAGTCCATCTTGAGATTGAAACTTTGACATTTCTGGTAGGGATTCTGCTAAACCAAAATCTTGAGTTAAACTCCTTATAACAATATGAACACTTCAAACTTTGACGTTAGTACTTGACCTATTTTGTAATGTTTGTATTGATTCGGTTTGTATTGTTTATCATTCTTGTTTGTCATTTTTAATGACATTTTGTACAGTTAGTATGCTTTGTACTGTTTGTCGGTTTATTTTGTAATGTTTGTAAGCTTTGTTATTTTGTAATGTTTGTCGGGTTCTTTTGTAATGTTTGTAAGCTTTGTTATTTTTGTGCACCATGTTTATCATTTTTGTCAACCATGTTTATAATGTTTTTTTATGTCTAAAAAACAAGCTGGTTGACTTTTGGATGAAACTCCTCTATATAGGGAAGGAGTCTCCAAAGACAACCCGGGTGTTTTTTCCAGTTTGTATGGATTGTCGGTCTAGTTTGTCATTTTTGTCCACCATGTTCGTAATGTTTGTATGTCTAAAAAACAACCGGGTTGACTTTGGGAGGGAGCCCTCTATATAAGGATGGAGCCTCCAAAGTCAACCCAGTTGTTTTTTCTTTTTTGTATGCTTTGTATTGTTTGTCAGTCTAGCTTGTACTGTTTGTCCAGTTCATACTTCATTTGTTTGTAATGTTTATAAATCTGTTTGTATGTTTTGTCGTTGTAGTTTGTATTGTTTTTATTTTTGTATAGTTTGTACGGATTGTAAGTCTAGTTTGTATACTTCGTAATTTTCCATAATACTCAAACTACCCTTGTCATTAATTAAATCGTCCTTCCCACTTTTTAATCGTCAGATTGATGTATCTAGATCTAAGGGCTGGGATGAGCTTAGTCAAGTGACTAAGCACCCCTCCTAGTCACCGGATCCTCCCTCATATATCTGGGTCCTTCTGGCTCACTCAAAATTAAGGGCCCATATTTAATTATAATTATACAAGGGCTATGCATCTTATCCTCTATCTAAATTTTTATTTTATTTTCTTTATTTTCGAGTATCATTCTTGAAAATAGGCAACAAATTAAAATCTCTGGGGGCAGATTTTGAGCACCAAATTAAGTGGAAGCAGAACCTAAATGTAAGACGGTTATTACTCGATTACCAAATTTCATTTTTATTTTAGATAAGTTACTATAACAATTTTTTTTATATTAATCAAAATGTTTAATTGAATTGCCAAACTCTCTCTTATATATCACTTGTTTTCTTTTATCCAATACCAATAGTTGAAAACATAACATAAAAGAACGAGAGAAATATTGGTCGGCTGAGGCTAGTTCTGATATCGAGTACACGAGTTGAATTAAAATGACAAAGGTCGCAGCACTAGTTGTGTTCATCTCTGGCATCCTACTATTCAACTTAGCTGTGGCATGGGAAGGTAATTAATTAAGGTTTTCGCGACAATGAGTGAATAAATTAAATCTCAATTATATTATCTCATATATGCGAATCAAAATAAGAATAGATGTTGTAAAATCGATATAAAATGAGCCAATAACAGGGCGGGGCGAAGTAGAGTGAGTCAGAAATAGATAATACTCACGTCCCGCCCCATGTTATTGCGGATCGGATGATACCCACCCCATCTCCAGGTCAGGTCAGACAATACCCGACGTGACAAATTCAAATTCTCATCCCTAGCCATCGTTCATGATCGGTTTGTTTAGTGAACTTTTTTTTTCTTCTCTCTTTTTTTTTTTACAGTGGATGGCGATGATGTGAAATGGTGTGAATTCACGGACGAATTTATTGGAGGATGCGGGCCTGAACAGTGCTATATAGAGTTTTTAGGCAAGTATGGGAAGTACGGGAATGTGAATGCCACAAATTGCGTATGTAACAGCACTCCTTCTGGCTCTCTCCATACATGTGCTTGCCAAGTTCACTGTGGCGTAATTCCACCACCGCCGCCTCTTTAGTTCTCATAATCTCATTCAGTACTCTATTATTAATTACGATAGATGGTTTTTTGTGACCTGTAGTAAACAAATTAACAAATAAATTGAAATGGAATTTGATCCAATATGATTCTATGTAAAAAAGGGAAGATATGATATATTATGGATATGGTATGGTTTTCTTTATAGAAAAAATTCCAAAATTCCATTGAACATATCCGAACAAAATAACTCAAGTTATTGAAAACTAATTAGTTAATGATATACTCACCTCAAGCAACTCGTAATCCAAACTCACTGGTCTAAAAAACTCATACATACATATATATAATTGTTTTTTTAATCAACAATTATAACCCAACTCATGACTTTTTTTTTATAAATGTGAAATAACCCAACTCATGACTTATTGACCGGCTCGACCTAAGGAAAGTCAATTTTAAAGGAGATAAATGGAAGATAACGGGCAATGATAAAACTTGAATTATTAAATTAATTCAGTGACTAATAGAATAAAATTTTTAAAATGAGAAACGTGAAACAATTCTGTAGTTATCTCAGCAACTAAATTTGCCATTTACCAGTAATTAAACAATTTCATAATCGCAAGTAATAATTATAATCATATATTTCAAACTTAGCTTAAGCTGGACTGATGATTTCTCCTCCCAACACTTGTTAAGAGAAGGGCATTGTTGAGTCTGTTCATTAATTAGCTAGGAATCGTGGAGTTGTGGGTTTTCAATGTACTTATCTTGGGAAGTTAACAGTAATTAACCAGCGGCTTGAAATCAACGTAGCTAGCTAGGATTAGGAACGATAATGGATACCCATATCCCCAGAAGGTTGGCACGATTCGATCCCTAGCAAAATGAATATTTAAGTTCATAATATCTGGAGTTAAGATAATATATTATGAACTATATTCATAAAGAAATAGAGTAAGTACACAGATACCTAATTGTCCGAAGATATTTTACATTCACGTGTGAAGTTTGACTACTTGCAGCGTTTCGAAGATTTCTGATAATTTGAGTAAGAGAAGTCGGTTGTTACCGATGGACATGTTTCGACTCTTAATAATCTTTAATATTAATTGTTGATTTAATATGTAGCATATGTGGCAAGATAATAAGGCGTATAAGGAAATATAATAAAATAACGAAAGCCAATTTACGGAGTTAAAGTTTGCACATGTTGCTCATATCATATGATTTAAAATAACGGTTTATATTGAGAATCGTGAGAACTTGAACACCTGAACTCAATAACAAACCGTTATCATACCATGTAATAAACCAACTGGTACTAATAACTCGAGTTGTTGAGAGATGTTCATGTATGAATCTTAACCACTTTCATACACGAACCCGCAAACGAAAGATAACTCACGAGTTTAAAGTTTGAACATGCCACTCATGCCATGTAATTTAAGAGAACGCATGATTAATATTGGAGGTCGATCGTGAGAACTTGAACACCTGATCTCAATAACAAACCGCTCTGACAGTACCATAGACCAACTGACCTTTATAGTTCGAGTTGCTGATAGAGGATTCGTGAATGAATCTTAAACACTCCTTACACGGTAAAATCCAAACTCACCATTTGTTAGAGTCACATGTAATATATTTCAAAACTAAGTCAGAAGAGCTCAAATCATGAAAACACAACAGTAACCTAGCTTCACCAATCTTAGTCGACACTTCATTATCAGGATCCCCATAACGAAACCGATAAGCCAAATGTTCTCCTCCCAGAGAGCCATATCACTACCCGCCAACAGTGAAACCAAATAGAATAACCCATTACCTCCAAACCCTACTTGTTACCATATCAAGAGACAGAAACTAGTTTTTGTCTTGTTTCTTGGAGTATATATCCAATATTACTAGTCACCTTACCTACTTATAAGCCGAGAAACACACTAAGTCAAAGAGGAACCAAACATATCTCGCCGAAACTTAACTACCCATCAAGAAGTTTGTCTGTTTTTGTCCAAGGTATAGCTAAATGCATGCATGGAGTTCCCTCTGGAACGACAGGTGTACGTGACTGTGGGAGAGGGCCATGCAACGGCACATATAGTCAAGCAAGAACGCAAAGATAAACATTAGAATAATCGAACAAGAGAAATTGTTGTCATTTTGGGTTCTTTCAACGTAAGTAGGAATTCGACTCCATCCACATATATATGCATGGAACAATCCAGAAACCATGATTAATTGATTCCCACGCAGCATGCAAACACGTGGTGCAATCTGGTTGAGTGATTAGAATACGTACAAATCAAAGCAATGTATTGTCTTGTCCAGATATGTACGTCGAACCAAACTCGAAAACCCTTGTTTTGTTTGCCGAGTGAGGAAAGTCTTGGTGAGACGAGAAGTGCACGTATGCTTTTGAGAAGCCGACAAACATATATGTTAATTGTTAGGTCACCAATATAGACGACGATGGATCTTTGTATACATCCCATGAAGCTAAATTAACACTCGCGGTTTGGCTACCTTAAACAATTAGTTTTGCTTAGGTAACACGTACGGGGAGGATGAACAAGTTTATAATTAATTAATATATAGATGACACTCTGCGCAGAAGAGTGAAAGAGAATGGACTGAACTGGATCGTTTTCTTGCTAGGTGGTTCCTTCTGCGAGAAAGCATGTGATTAGGTTTTTATACTGAGATGAGAGAACGTAGAAGATAAGTAGGTAGGTAGATTTGATTAGCAAGTTAATGTTTCATGATTCCTTGTACCTTTCGATGGGGAAAGCTAGCAAAGCAAATCGTAGGTTTTGAGATTTTCTTGATAAATTCAAAATAGAATGTTTAATGAAGAATTGTAAAATTATACCAGAGATTGTTTCGAATAAGTAAGTGGTAAGGTATTTTGTGCCTGAATTGTAGTTTAACCGTTTCACACGGAAAAGTTTTGGCTTAGGCTTCTGTATACTATTTTTTTGGTTGGACCCTGGAACGTAGCAAGCTAAGGCTTTCACTCGGTGGATTGGACATAAAATAAAAATATATAAAATGATTTTATCAATGTTTATACTTTATAGTGATACACAGGTTGTTTACGTAGTTTATCGACATATTTTCGTTTGAGGGTGGAGATTTTGACAATGAATTAGGAATTAGTAAATTCAAAATAAAATTTAGAGAGGTAGTTTTAGGTAGATTATATAGTTATTCATAGAATACACAAGGTTAATATGTATCACAAAGTTCTCTACTATATGTTGATATATAGACAAGTGAAACTAGTAAACATGAGATATTTGAACTCGAATATTGTGGGTTGTGCACAAATGCCGTCATTTTATATTGTGTCTCAATCTACCGTCAAAATTAATCTCGAGATCCAACCACTTTCAAACTGGGCTCCGCCCCTGATTGGACCGCCAGTACGATTCAACAAACACTACATTAAACTTGTATCTTCAAAAAAAGTATATAGAATCACTATCATACAGAATTTGAATAATCATGGTATAACTAGGTATCTAATTCCTATGGTTGTGTCTTGGTTACATTTACAGATGTAACAGAAATCAGTTACATGGAGGAGGAGACAAGCTAAGCCCAAAGGGTTTCTGTCTAGCCAGTTGGACGAAGTTAACATTTTGGAGGGCAGTAGGGTTTCTTAGTCTTGTTGCAACCTCATGCGACATTACGTAATATGTAAAACGTTTCATCTACCTTGTGTTCCGTAGGTTGTAGTTGTACACATACTCCTGTCTTGTTTTTATCCCCACTCCTACATGTTCTTGTCATATCTGGCTGCAAGATACCTAAGGGAATCTGACAAATACGCTGTTTAATTTGTCTTCTATTTTTATGTTTTTCCCCCTCTCTTTGGGAAATGCAACCACGTTCGTGTCATATACAATTGGGCTAAATTCCAATAATCATCACTAAATTTTGACACTAAGCAATGGTTCCTAGCTAGCCACCAGCTAGTGTGGTATGGAGTTGATTCAATGTGTTGTGTGTCCGATCGAGTGGACGTACTTAATTATTACAACTTATCATTATGAGAATATTTATGTTAGTGGTACGTAGTTCTGGCCATTTAGTTTTGGGGATTAGTGAGGGCAAGGGTATCATAGGGTGTTTGCTTTTGGGTCGACGACACAAGGAAAAACCGATGGTCATTGAACTCTGGTTTTTAGCAAACGCGTCATTCGAAGTTGGAAAAATAATTGACATAACAATCACGTTGTCTATTATCGTCAAAATTTTTAAAAAAAAGAAAATTCAAATCGGTTAGCATGCCAAGCTGGACAAATTAGTAATAGAAATGTTATGTATGTCCTAATTAGTTGACACAAACAATCCATTTTGGCTGCTACTCGATCCAAATCAGATCTACTTCGATTCATTTCCAAGTCAGATTACTGGAGACAAACCCTTACCGCTTACACAGCAATCGATTAGATTGTTTAAATGGAATTTATCTATGACTTGTCTCGATGACTTGACCGCTGATAATTTGGACAATTTATCGGAAAAAGCTCGAGATAAATGAATAAAAATTATTATGTTAGTGATTTCAAATTTCATGTGGAACATTTCGTCTAGAATCAAAGTTAACAAATCAATTTGTTAGAAGCACAAAATGCGCTGACCGTTTATGTAATTCAACCTTTCACTTTGAAGACTCTCTGTTTTTCTTTTGCTTTATAAGCTAAGGCTTATACCAGAAAACATCAAAACATCATGATTAGTATAAACGTTAACTCAACTTATCTGAAATGTATCCTATAATTATTGCAAATTACACTAATTCAGGAATACGGTTAAATGATTATTAAACAGAAATGCAGACAATAAACAGAAATGGATGATTAAACTCTGAATTAAGAAAACAATAAAAAAATAAATTGGGCTGGTGGCCACTGCAAATTGTCTAGTCCAGATGAGAATCATCACAAGTGAAGGACACACTCGATATTATAGTCTCGTCTGTCTTAATGAATTACCAAATAACCCATTTAATTACTAAATCTCCACTGC